TTTTCAATTCTAATTTAGAGAGCAAGTTATTGGAAGGGGATCAAGCCCCACACACAGCAGTGCTCAGGGCTTACTTCTGGCTCTGTGCCCAGAGATCACTTGTGGCAGGGCTCAAGGGACCATAAGGGGTGGGGAATCAAACCTGGGTGGGCCACATGCAAGACAAGCACCTTACCCACTGTACTATCTCTCTGGCCCCAAAAGCAAATTTTCTTTTTTTTCTTCTTTTTGGGTCACACCCAGTGATGCACAGGGGTAACTCCTGGCTTGCGCACTCAGGAATCACTCCTGGCGGTGCTCAGGGGACCATATGGGATGCTGGGAATCAAACCCAGGTTGGCCGTGTGCAAGGCAAATGCCCTACCCACTGTGCTACTGCTCCAGCCCCCAGCAAACTGTCTTAATTCCAAATGTGTCCAGATTTCTCTTCCACCATAACCTGCAAGTTTACCAGGAACCGAAACTAGACTAAGACCAATAACAATCATCACCACGTCCTACTATGTGCTGGGTCACTTCCAAGGGTTTTACGCGCTCTCTCTCTATTTCTTGCAAAACCTCAGCAAGTAAGTAGTTATTATCCTCTTACTAGGGAAATTAAGGCTCGGAGAGGTTAAGTTCTTTACCCAGTCTTAATGACATTATTCTCTCCCTTAACCCATGCCTCCCCCTTCTACTGTTCGTTCATCCCCGCACAGAGGACAACCCTGTCCTTCCCACCTGTGCTCTCAACAGCTTTGTTATGGAGTTTTGAATAAAACCCACGGAAAATCTTAGCATTGACCTTGCCCATCTCTATCCCTCCCCACCCTCTTCTCTCCCGCACCCTCCCCCGTCCCCTGACATTCCAGACTTCTTCCTTCCTTGCCTTCCTTTGAACCTGGTTTACTTGCCCAGCCCAAAACCTCATCATTGGTCAAATCTCAACACAATATTGCTCCAAGATTTCTCTCCTATCATCATGTCTAAACTAGAGAGACATAGAGCCAGCAGCCACCTTCTTAGCAGAGCAGCACAATGAATACTCTAAATCAGGAGTTCCTAATTTACTTCCTACTGTCTGATATCTCCACACCAAGAGGACCCCCAAGTTCCCTTATGGCAAGAACATTGTATTCCCAACTTCCAAATACTGTCAAGCACCAAGGAAGATCACAAGTGCACATTGAAAGAAATACAGTGAGAGGTATTAGAGGAATCAGGATTTAAACCCAAATTTTTAAAAACCCAGAACCATCCATCCACTCAGTACACTGTTTCCTAAAATGTTCTGGGAGGAGTTATTTAGAAATTGGAAGAATCTGCTAAATGCTGCCCTTGTGGAGAATGTAGAATGCAGTGGGTAGGGCACTTCCTTTTAACTATGTGTATTCCTACATTTATTTAAAATTTTAAGACAGATTTTTTTTTATTTTTTGGGTCACACCCAGCCCATGCTCAGGGGTTACTCCTGGCTCTGCACTCAGGAATCACTCCTGGCGGTGCTTGGGGGACCATATGGGATGCTGGGAATCGAACCCAGGTCGACCGTGTGCAAGGCAACCGCCCTACCCACTGTGCTATTGCTCCAGCCCCCATGTATTTTTTTTTAATCTTAAAAAGAATGCATGCTGAAGGCTAAAGAGATTGTTCAGTGGGCAGGGCACTTCTCTTATATACTGCTGATCTGGGTTCAATCCCCAGCACCCTATATAGTACCCTGAGCACTGTCAGAAGAGATCCCTGAGCACAGAACCAGGAGAAAGCCCTGAACACAGCTGGATGTGACTCAAACACAAAAACAAACCTGCCCCAAAAAAAGTAGTTAAACAAAAATTTTAAGTAATGTTTGCTGGATCAGAGAGATTGTACAGGGCTTAAGGAGGTTACTTTCCTCATGGCCAACCCCAGTTCTATCCCTAGCACATGTGGCCCCTGAGCACAGAGCCAGGAGTTAGCCCTGAACATCACCAGGTGTAGCCCAAGAACAAAAAATAATGCATGCATGGGGCTGGAGCGACAGCACAGCGGGTAGGGCATTTGCCTTGCACATGGCTGACCCAAGTTCGATTTCCAGCATCCCACATGGTCCCCCGAGCACCACCAGGAATAATTCCTGACTGCATGAGCCAGGAGGAACCCCTGTGCATCGTCAGGTGTGACTCAAAAAGCAAAATTAAATAAATAAATAAATAATGCATGCAGAATTAGATGGTTCTACCCCTTCTTCATTAGTTCCTTAAAATCCATACATTTACCCACTCGTACCTTCCCCCAGTCACTGATTTCTCCCTTCAGCCAACAGGTAGAAAACATCAGTACAGCCTCAACCCAGTTACTCCTACATAGAACCAAGCTAAAAGAAGGGTTACTTGAAAAGCATCTTTTCCACTCAGTTAGACATCAGAATTACCTGGAAGGTTTCCTGAAATGCAAATTTCTAGTCCCACTCTTCGGATTCAATGAGTTGGGTTTTGTTGGACAGAGTGCTACACAGAAAATTCTGCAGGGCCATGCGCAGAGAGGACAATTGGTTTAAGTAACACTCTACCTCAGGATCTCACCCTCGCCTTGGATCAGTTTGGGTGGGAACAGCCGTGCCCTCCCCACGTGGGTTGGTCTTCTGCATCCGTCTCCCACATTCTGTCAGGACTGGCTACGGACACTGCCCTTTGGTACTACAGGACTAAATCATCAGTTACTTCTTACCCTCCACCTCAATCTTTTCCCCTGAGCCCCCTGTGAGAGGCAGAAATGGTGGTGTCACAGCTGGCCTGGCAATCGCCCATGTAGGCTGAAGTTGAGGCCTTCACCATGGAGGTCTGGCACGTACATGGACAGGGCAGAAGGAACCTGAGAATTGCACCACATGGCTGCATCTAAGAAGTTTCAGTGCGGTCACAGAGGCATAAAAACTGAACTCCCTAAAAGCAACTGATTTTTCTTCCTTTATACTAAGAAAAACCTGGTTGCCTGTTTTTGCTTGTTCACCAGGAAGCTTAAAAACTATACTTACAGCAGATTCAAGAATGTGTCTGCCTTGTATGCATGAGACCAGGATTCAACTCTTTTTTTTTTTGCTTTTTTTTGGGTCACACCTGGAGATGCACAGGGGTTACTCCTGGCTCTGCACTAGGAAATTACTCCTGGCGGTGCTCGGGGGACCATATGGGATGCTGGGAACCGAACCCAAGTCAGCTGCATGCAAGGCAAACTCCCTACCCACTGTACTATTACTCCAGCCTCCAGGGTTCAATTCTTGCTACTCCCTCCCCAACACACACACACACACAAACACACACACCTTTCTCTTTTAACGCTTACTTGGCCAATTTAACTCCTTCCTCATGTATAGACTAACTTCCAGCTGCCTACTGTGCATGGTGCTCCCTGTCGTTAAGCCAACTATCATTCCCTTCCATTCCCACACTTCACTCACACCTCAACCCACCAGCTCAATACATCAGTCCATTTTATCCTGATTCCCTCCTGTATTTTTTTTTTTTTTGCTTTTTGGGTCACACCCAGCATTGCACAGGGGTTACTCCTGGCTCTGCACTCAGGAATCACTCCTGGCAGTGCTCAGGGGACCATATGGGATGCTGGGAATGGAACCCGGGTCGGCCGCGTGCAAGGGAAACGTCCTACCCACTGTGCTATCGCTCCAGCCCCCGAAAACTTTATAACATTTTTAAAGCTCAGATATTTAGCATATTGTATGCTAGTGCGAATTATCGAATAGAAAGTAAAATTACCGATGTAGGGGAAGGAGAAAATACAGGAGGGGGCTGGAGCGATAGCACAGTGGGTAGGGCGTTTCCCTTGCACGCGGCCGACCCGGGTTCCATTCCCAGCATCCCATATGGTCCCCTGAGCACCGCCAGGAGTAATTCCCGAGCTCAGAGCCAGGAGTAGCCCCTGTGCATCACTGGGTGTGGCCCAAAAAGCAAAAAAAAAAAAGGGTTATAAAGTTTTCATTGACCCAACGACCCAAAGGTCTTTTGCTCTTCAGTGCTATGTGATATTCTATAGCATGGTACCCCCGCTTTGTTTTTTCACCACTCTAATGATTGCCCCCAGCTATGTGCTACCACAAGCACTGGCTGCAAGTTTCTTCAACATGAAAAAAATAAACATATGTAGAGACCAGAGCGCTAGTACAATAGGTAGGGTGTCTTACACCCAACTGACTGAGATTTGACCCTCAGCACCACATACGGTCCCCTGAGCACCACCAGGAGTGATCCCTCTGTGCAGAGCCAGGAGTAAATCCTGAACACAGCCAGATGTGGCTCAAAATCTGACATAATTTTTTAAATAAAAAATCGTATTTACGCTCCTTGCTTCTGCAACTATTTCTCCCAGACTTTTCTATTTTTCTGTCCTTGTTACTTGCAAAACTACTTCAAACTTTTCCTACTGAATGATAGAGTTTTTAAGGACATCCAATGAGAATATATTAATGCAATATCTCTCATCAGCAATGTCTGAAACAAGTTTCACCAGAGCCCTGCTCTGTCTACCAGTCCATGAACATAAGCAGGAAAAATTTCCTCTCTCTTTCTTTGAGAGTCCACTGAACTGATGATAGGACCAAGACAGCCCAGAACAGGAACAGCCTGGGAGAAGCCCACAAGAGCCCTGCCAGTCTCACTTTCTTTCTGCACCTGTCCGTGGGGCTGGACAAGGTCCAGGCTTCACTGGTGACTTGGATCCTTGACCTCAGGTTCCTCTGAGACCCCTTTCGGGCCACTCTGTCCTGCAGAGGGAGTGAAGAAGGATCTGACTTTCCCCAGACCCCAACCTACGCTCCCACCCTCTCTCCCTCCTCACCCGGGTCCCAAATAACCAGGCCACACACCAGGTTTCAAGTATCTGTCTCTTCCTTTCACTCTCTCAAAAGAAAAAATAAATAAATTGCAGAAGGCGGCAGCATTTCCAGTCTTCCCCTGGCTCCCTGACACCCAACCCCCAACCCCTGGCCCCACCCCCCTCCCACATTCCCCTCTCCCTAGACCCACCCCTCCCCTTCCCTCCCAAAAAAAATCCCAGAAAAAAAAAAAGCCACAGTTAGACCTTCCACTCATGCAAACCGGCAAAGAAAAAAGGTGGGGGGCATGTGGAAGGCAGGGGGCCCACAGTCGAGTCCCCCCACTTATCCCCCCAAAAACCACCTTTGAGAAGAAAAAATGGAAAAATTAAATGAGAAATCAAGGGACATGGGAAGTTATGGTGGGGGCAGGGGTGACACCAGACCCTTCCTTAGGAGAGAGCAGCCGCAGTGCAGCGCCGCTCCGGGATGGGGCACTGACTTCTGGAATGTGTGGGGGAGGGATGGGGGAAGGCAGGTGACCCCCAGTGGGTTTGTGTGTGCATTGGGGGCAGGCAGAGTGTAGGGGGTCCTAAGGAACAAGGGCTCAGGACCGGGAGCCTGGCCCCCCCCAGACCCCAGAATTCTAGGGTTTAGGAGCCCAGTTCTGGGGTGCGGAGATACATGCAGAGGAGTGTTCCCCCTCCAGTGGGCTGGATCCAGTTAGAAAGGAAATAAATAAGAAGGGTGGGAGGGAGGCGGGCAGGGCAGGGGTGTGAAGGGCTTGGGCGACTGAGTCCAGACCATGGGGCCCAGGCGGCGGGTGCAGGGCAAGTCCAGGCCACGCCAGGGCAGGAATCAGAGTCTCTCTCGGGCTGGGACCCAGATGTAAGGGCCTGAGAGGTCCTCGATAACGCGCTTCACCTTGTGGTAGATCTCCTCAAAGCTGTCGCCCTCCACGATGGCTGGGGGTGGGGTGGAACAGGGAATGAGGCTGGAGGCACAGCCAGGGTGCGCCAGCCCAAAGAGGCACCTTTCTCTCAGCCTCCACACCCTGAGCCATGGGGGTCCACCACCCACAGGAGACCATCCCCCCGCCTCATGCGCTGGCAGCAGCCGCTGTGGCCTCACCTGAGAAGCACTCTGTGAACTCCTGCTCCAGCTTGCTGGCTCTGTCGAAGGCTTTGCGGGCTTGCTCCTCCGTGATCCGTTTATTGATCTCTCTGTGAAGAGGGAGAGGCACTGGCTGAGGGGCATCCCACCCCGCCTTCTCCTTCCTCTACCCAGAGATGTGAAGTTATGCCCAGTGTCGTCTTTTTTTTTTTCCCTTGTTTTTTGGGTCACACCCGACAATGCTCAGGGGTTACTCCTGGCTCTGCATCAGGAATCACTACTGGCGGTGCTCGGGAGACCATATGGGATGCTGGGAATTGAACCTGGGTTGGCCGCGTGCAAGGCAAATGCCCTACCCGCTGTGCTATCGCTCCAGCCCCCCAGTGTTTTCTTATTCAGAGCATACAACGTGTCTTCTGAGGTCACAAATGACGGGTCCGCCACCCCACAGCCCACCCTGGCCAGCTGTGGCTACTCCAGAGTCAGCCTGAGTCAAACAAGGCCCCTGAAGGGACCTTGATTTGCCGCAGCGCCTTTGGGACTGTGGGCAGCTGTCGCCCCCTCTAGGTCAAGGCAGGAAGGGAAGGGAAAGGCCTAGGATTTCCTGCATCTCCTGGGATCCAGCTCTGGAGCCAGTGTGTCCAGGCTTCAAACCAGGGGCCACAGGTGTGGGGAAGTGAAGGGGAGGCCCCCTGGGACCATACTCACAGCACATTCTCCAGGGAGCGGGGGCGGATGAAGATGGCGATAGGGTGCAGGTGGGCCGCCTGCAGCCGCCGCACGGCATTGGCTGAGACATCGAGGATGCAGTGCTTCCCCTGGGGCAGGCAGGGTGGGGGGCGGGGGGGGGGACCAGCGTGTGGCAGGAAAGACAGACAGGTGCCAGGACAGGACAGAGTCCGGGGAGAGGTGGGAATGGGATGTTGGCCAAAAGGAAAATGACAAGGATGTCAATGGAGAGAGAGAGAGAGAGAGAGAGAGAGAGAGACAGAGACAGAGACAGAGACAGAGACAGAGACAGAGAGAGACAGAGAGAGTCAAGGCAGACAGGAGAAGTAGACAGAGCGAAAGAGAGAAAAAGAAAACGGCAGAGAACAAGGAGGAAGCAAGCACAAAAGGGACAGCGCAGGCGGCGGGGAGGAGGGGCGGAGAATGAAAATGAAACAGGGAGAGGACCCAAAAGATGGGCAGAGTAAGGTCAGAGGGGCAGCAGTGAGCCACAGGCGAGGAAAAGGGAAAGAAGGAAGTAGGGTAGAGGAGGACGGAGGGGGGAGGACAGACAAAGGACAGACAGATGGAAGGAACAAGAAGGGACAGATGGGATGGAGGAGAGGCAGATGGAGAAAGGATCCGTGAAGGGAGAGAGGGCAGGGTGAGGGGCAAGAGAGGGAGAGGTAGCAGAAGACAGGAGAGGGGGCAGAGACCCCAGGAACAAGGTGGGGAGAGAGCACAGGGCCAAAGGGACATGGGGCACAGGAGAGGGAGAGTCAAGGGGGGCCAGGGCCCAGGAGGAGAGAAGTAGGGCGAGTCGGAGGGCCGAGGAGGAATGAGGGGCCAGATGGTGGTGCAGAGTTTGGGTCAGGAAGCGGGGGGGGTGGGGGGGGGAGGCACAGGGGAGGGGCACAGAGTGCACGCGATCAGACAGAGTCGCCCAAGAGGAGAAGGAGGTGGAGGAGCGAGTGGAGACCCAGCAGGGAAAGAGACAGAAAGAAAGAGAGTTAGAGAGAGCTGGAGGAGGGCCAGGGGTGGGGGGCAGGGGTGGGGAGGGGAAAAGGAAGAGGACAGGGGTGCCCACTGGGTCCTACCTGCTCGGCCACCTCTCGCACGGACTGGACGCTGGTTCCATACAGGTGGCTGTTGTACTGGCCGGCCTCAATGAACTTGTGCGCTTGAATGTCCTTCTCCATTTTCTCCCGGGACGACACAAAGTGGTAATCCCGGCCATCTATCTCATACTCCCTCTTGGGCCGTGTCGTATCTGCCAGGAAGTCACCCCACCCCCCAAAGATCTAACCACCATCCCTCTAGCTCAAAACCTCACTACAAGCCCCTAGAGAGCTGGTCCACGAGTGGCAAAGGGCTGCTAGGAAGCACAGGACGGAAGCAGGGCAGAGCCGCTCCAGCTCCCTCGAGTTCTCCGAGCCTCTGGCCTGGAGTGACTACTGCGAAACATGAGGGGGGCCAAGAAATCCCCCTTCTCTGTGTCCTCTGCACCCCAGAGACCCACATCTGCCTATAGCCCCCAGGGATGGGTCTCCCCGACCCTTCTCCAGCAGAGCCCGCCACTCGCCTCCATCTGAAACCCTGACCCAATACTCACGAGGAACACAGGATCCAAATTTGTCGGGGAACTCGGAGAGAAGATCATCATTGGCACGGTCCTTGGTGGGCCCAAGGATGATAATGGGGCGAGCATAGTGTACTGAGGAGAGAGATCTGGCTTAGACGAGACAGAGCTGGGAGCAGGAGAGACGAGGGCCAAAGCCAAGGCCAGGGCTCACCTTCCATCTGCGTCACTGTCTCGTAGCTCAGAACGGAGTCTTCTCGACCTAGAGGGAGGAAGGCAGCTGGGAAGGGTGCTGCTTGGGGGCTCAGTGGCCCATGTGACCCTCCGAAGGTTATAAGGGGAAACACAGAGCCCCTCTCCTCCAGGTCGCCCCACACTGACCCTACCTACCCTGCGATCCAGAGCTGGAGCCCCAATCCTAGGAACGAAGACACCATTTGGTTGATTTAGAATTCAGCCCCCCTGTAAGTCCCTCACCCCCAAGCTCTGCCCCTCTTCTACCTACCTTGGCCTTTAACCTTGACCACTCTCGTCGCTCAACCCTGTGGGAAACATAAATGAATGGATGGGGCTCGGGGAATCCTCCGTGGGAAGCCCTAGAACAGCTGATAACCCCATCTGCCAACAGCCCCTAGTCCCATGAGCAACCACAGGGGCTCACGTTAACCATGATGCCCAGGAGAGCCAAGCAGATCCCCGATGACTCAGGACACAGCCCGAGGAACTACTGGCTGCCCGCCCAGGAACCTTGGGAACTGGGTGCCTGTAGCAGAAAGGTTGCAGGCACCAGGAGCCTCACCGCCGTTTGCTGGGGATAAAGCCAATGTCATCGGTCTCACTGTCGGAATGGACCCGCCGTGCCTGCCACCATTCCTCATCGCTGGCATCAATTACATGCAGCACGTCCCCAAAGTGGAAGCTCAAGGCCTGGCTCAGGAAACCGCAGTCCTTGGTCTTGTCGTAATCGAACAGTGCCCTGAAAAGGCATATGGCCATTGGTCAAATCAATGGCTCAGGACTCCAGGAATGACCCCAACCACTCGAAACCCAGACCTAAGGTCCTAGGAGAAAAATCGACAGCAGTGTTCTTCAATCACCAGTCCATAGACTGCTGTGAGTCCACAGGCATGGAAGGTTGGAAACCACTGTTCTGCCATCTTGGTTAGGACTGCCAGATCTAGACGGGTGTGCAGGACAGGTACTGGTCTGCAGGTGTGTGAAAGTTGAAGAACACTGAAGAACACTGGTCTACAGCAAAACCTGGGCTGCTCATGGTTCTCTCCCACAGCTGCCATGTTTTCTGTGGCACTGTCGCACTGTCCTCCTGTTGTTCATCGATTTGCTCGAGCGGGTCCAGTAACATCTCCATTATGAGATTTGTTGTTACTGTGTTTGGCATATTGAATACGTCACGGGTAGTTTGCCAGGCTTTGCCCTGCGGGCGAGATACTCTCGGTAGCTTGCCGGGCTCTCCGAGAGGGAAAGAGGAATCGAACCTGGGTCGGCCCAGTCGGCCGCGTGCAAGGCAAATGCCCTACCGCTGTGCTATAGGTCCAGCCCATATATTCTGAGGAACCCCCAAACTATGTGAGGACCAAAAGTTCTACAGAAACTTCATCATCACCATAGCTATCTACTATCGTTCAGTCCACACAGGGGTCCCCTGACTCTGAGACTTCTAGAATGAGAATTACATCTCCTCCCTTCCAAAAAAGCTTTCTGCGTCTCAAGGATCCACCTTTGTTAAGGTGAGTTGGAAACTGCCCCCACTCATAAATAAAAAATAAAGAAGAAGAACAAGAAAAAGAAGATCACCCTTCCAGTCTGGTTAGCCTATTCAGTAACAACTTCCGGTCATGGGGGGGGGGGGGGGGCGGGGAGGGCAAGGCAGGGAGAGAAAAACTGTGAAGTTGTAGTTGCAGGCAGAGTAATGGGACTAGAAACAAAACAAGAGTCTCCGGACATCATTGAGGAGTTAGAACTAAACAAGCCCTGGAGCCAACAGCACCCCAGCAGGGAGAGAAGGGCCACTTGCAGGTCCAGTTTGAACCAGGGATCTGGGCAACCGTTCAAAGAAAGAGAAAACACTGATGAGGCAAGACAAAGCATGCACACACAAGAAAGAGAAGAGCTCGATATGGGACATGTTGAGTGTGATATGCCTGTGGAACACCCCAGTGGGCATGTCCAGAAAGCAGATGGCCAAACTGCAGACCTGGACCTCCAGAAAGAGGTCAGGCCAGAGCTGACAGTTCCAGTTGACATGGACATGGGCAGAGCAGAGCAGCACAGGAGGATGGAGAGGAGCCGAGACAGTGAAGAGAGGACCCGGGAGGTAGTCGAGTGGGATAGTACCTCATCCTGGAGGATGAGAAAGAGGTGTGGGGACTGGAGCTATAGTACAGAGGGTGGGGCGTTTGCCTTGCACGCAGCCAACCCTGGGTTGATTCCCAGCATCCCATATGGTCCCCCAAGCACTGCCAGGAGTAATTCCTGAGTGCAGAGCCAGGAGTAATCCCTGAGCATTTCTGGGTGTGACCCAAAAAGAGGGAAGGAAGGAAGGAAGGAAGGAAGGAAGGAAGGAAGGAAGGAAGGAAGGAGACAGAGAGAGAGAGAAAGAAAGAAAGAAAGAAAGAAAGAAAGAAAGAAAGAAAGAAAGGAAGAAAGAAAGAGCCCGAGAAGAGAGCAAAATGCCCTGGAGAGGTGAAGCAGAAGCAAGAGAGCAGAGACCCAGCTCCCCTGGCTGCCCACGTGAATGTGTAGGCAGTGGCCACATTCCAAATCACCTTTACAGTACCAGGCAGTGACTTTTCTTTTGGGGGGAGCCACTCCTGCTATAGTCAGGTGGTGCTTGAGGGCTCTCCGGCTACATCCAGTGGGGCTAGAGGGGTGAGGGATCATGCACAGGGCAGATGCAAGGTAGGTTCTTCACCATTTGAGTCAATTCCTGACCTAGCATTAATTAATACGTGAGTTGCTGGTGGGTGGCTGAGTGATATTAGAGGAGGTAAGGCACTTGCCTTGCAAGCAGCCAACCCAAGTTTCATTCCCAGGGGCTGAAGAATAGTACAGCAGGTAGGGCGTTTGCCTTGCACACGGCTGACCCGGGTTCGAGTCACAGCATCCCATATGGCTCCCCAAGCACCACCAGGAGTAATTCCTGAGTGCATGAGCCAGGAGTAACCCCTGTGCATTGCCGGGTGTGATCCAAAAAGAAAACAACAACAACAACAACAAAAAGTTTGATCCCCAGTACCCTACAAGGTCCCACGAGCCCTACTGGGTCCCGCGAGCCCACCATGAGTGTTCCCAGAGTGCAGGACCAGGAGTCAGCCCTGAGCATTGTTTGGTGTGGCCCCAAGTAATGCTATTAAAATAATTTTTAAAAAATTTAACTGTGGGGCTTGAGCGATAGTACGGTGGTAGGGCGTTTGCTTTGCATGCGGCCGACCCAGGTTCGATTCCCAGCATCCCACATGGTCCCCCGAGCACCACCAGGAGTAATTCCTGAGTGCAAATCCAGGAGTAACCCCTGGGCATCGCTGGGTATGACCCAAAAGAGAAAAAAAAAAATTCAACTGTGAGTTGTGAAATTGTAGCACAGACTGAGAGTCCCAGGGAAAGTGCCGAGTGCCAAGGGTCTAGAAGGCAAGAAGGGTCCTTGAGGCAGAGACTGTTTCCCCACTGACAGAGATGTCAAAGGTAACCTGGACAGATCAGGTCCTCAGCCAGAGTCAACCCCCAAGCCATGTGCCCCACCCCCACCATGAGTAACCCAGAGAGTCTGACCTGATATAGAAACCCCTCTTGGGATTGCTTCGCAAGGAGGCGGTCCCTGAGCCCAGGCTACTGTTCATGAGCTGCTCCCGGAGGTCATGGATCTTGGCCTCAAATCGGCTGTACTCTGAGGAAGAACAAGAGGTTCCTGGCACTGGCCTCTCCTATTGCCACACTGCCCCCCCACCCCCACCCCTGCTGAAGCCACATCTCAGGACAGTGTCCTAAGAGTCAGCCCAGCCCATGAGAAGAAAAGCTTCAAGCCTGGTACCTTCCGGTTTGTACTGAGCGATGATTGTGACCGTCTGGCCTGCATTTTTAAGGGCGATGGCAGCCTGCTCATGGCTAGCATTACGAAGGTCAACACCATTGACCTAAGCAGAGAGGAGAGGCTCAACTGCTGAAAGTGACCAGCCCACGCAAGCCCTCCCCATGAGCTCTGAGTTCTGCCCAGGAAATGGGGGGAACAGAAGCTGGGCCAGCCGTTCCTCACCGAGAGGATCTGGTCCCCCTTCCGTAGCTCGCCGCTCAGGTCTGCAGGGCCCCCAGCCAGGATAAAGGAGATGAAGATGCCTTCACCATCCTCGCCACCCACAATGTTGAAACCCAGGCCTGTGGAGCCCCGGTGGATCACGATCCTCCTCGGTTCTCGGGGAATATCTTCCTCGCCCAGCAGGTCCTTGGCCACTGGGGAGTAGCGCCGAGGGGAAGTGGGGGTCATGGCTGTGGGGTAGTCTGTGCCCAGGTAGCTGCTGTGACTGATCTCGTTGTCCAGGTGCTGGGAATAAGCTGAAGGAAGACAAGAGGGAAAAGATGAGACAGACCTCAAGGACAGAGAAGCACCCACCATGGGACCTTCTACCTTGGGAACCAAAGGAGCCAGACTCAGGGGAAGGGGAAGTTATTCCACCAGAAATAAGGGCATGGTTTTAAAAAATTTTGATTCCTCCGCCCCTCTTGGAGAGCCCGGCAAGCTACCGAGAGTATTCGATATGCCAGACACAGTAACAACAAAGTCTCCAATGGAGACGTTACTGGGCCCGCTCGAGCAAATCGACGATCAACGGGAGGGCCTTTACCTTTACCTTTACCTAATTAAAAAATTAAAATTGAAAAAAAGTAATGTGGAGTTCATGCCCAATTCAATCAGCTTAATCAATGGCTGAATAAATAGCAGTGCTCCTACATTAAAAAAGAAAAGAAAGAAAGAAAGAAAGAAAGAAAGAAAGAAAGAAAGGCGGGCATGATAGGTAAAGTAGATGTCATGAGTCAGGACAGAAGTGACACCAGCAGGAGTTACTTTCCCTAAGGAATATTAGAGGTGAGAACTACATGTCCGAGGAATGCCAGGATGGCTAAGTCAAGAGCAGTATTATCAGGAGGCGGGGTTCTTTTGCCAATTCATTCATTTGAATGAATTCAATAAAATGAATTCTATAAAATCCATCACGTTTGGCTGGAGATATTTTAACAGGTTGTATGCATACAAAGCTTGATTTGCATCTGGAAAGCCTGGATTCAGTTCCTGGTACCATGTGGTCCCTTAAGCACTAACAAGAATAACTCTGAACACTGCTAGGGGTTGCCGAAAATTTTTGAAAAAATATTCAGGGCAGGAGAGATAATGGGTATGGTGCTTGCCTTGAATACAGTCGATTCAGGTTCTATCCCTGGAACCCTATATGGTCTCCAAGCCTTGCAAGGAGTGATCTCTGAACAATAGCTAGAAGTAAGCCTTGAACACTGCCAGGTGTGGACTAAAAAATCCAAAAATTCATCAACTTTTTTTCTCTCTTGATGATCATTTTAGAAAATACAAGGTCATTTTTACCTTCTATTAGGAAAATCCTGGTAAGTGTACAATGTCCCTTCACCCTGTGCCTCCTTTAAACCGGTCATCTTGCTCTATACACTCATCAGATTTAAGTTCAGTTTCTTGGCAAGCATGTTTCAAAGGTTACTGCATCACAACAGTAGCACTGTAGCACTGATTTGCTCGAGCAGGCACCAGTAACATCTCCATTGTAAAACTTGTTGTTACTGTTTTTGGCATATCAAATACGCCACAGGGAGCTTGCCAGACTCTGCTGTGCGGGCGGGAGGGCAGTAAACTCTGGGTAGCTTGCCGGGCTCTCGGAGAGGGACTGCATCCCAATAGGATGTACTGTTTGTCTTTTTACATGATTAAACAGTAGGTTCAGGGGCTGGTACGGTGCTTGCCTTGTATGTAGTTAACCCTAGTCTGATTACCAGTACCTCACATGGTCCCCTGAGCACCATCAGGAGAAATTTCTGAGTACGAAGCCAGGAGTAACTCCTGAGCATTGTCAAATGTGGCCCAAAAACAAACAAATTGATGATTCAGGCCTTGTCAGCTGCCTTTCACTGAGGATTTTAGTAGCCACTGTGACAATCACTGTCAGGTTCTATTTCATTGATGACTGAAAAATGTGCTGCTTTTATATTATTTCCTTCAGTATTATTATTTCTCAGAGGAAGCATTTTTTGGTAGAAGCTCTTCTATAAAGAACTTACACAGAGTAACCATTTGATGATTCTGAGTTGATCTGTACAGGAAAGGGAGGATAATACTGGACCCTTTACCTTTATTGATCAGTTTCCTAAATGGATAGATTCCCTAGCACCTTTAAAAGGTACCTAATTAGGGGCTGGAGCAATAGCACAGCGGGTAGGGCATTTGCCTTGCACGCAACTGACCCGGGTTCGATTCCCAACATCCCATATGGTTCCCTGAGCACCGCCAGGGATAATTCCTGAGTGCAGAGCCAGGAGGAACCCCTGTGCATAGCCAGGTGTGACCCAAAAAGCAAAAATAAATAAAAAATTAAAAATTAAAGGTACCTACTTATTCTACAGGGTTTTGTGTATTGTTTTGTTAAGGGTTTTTTTGGTTGTTGTTGTTGTTGTTTCATTTTTGTTTGTTTTGGAGTCACACCAGCAATGCTCAGGGCTTACTCCTTGCTCTACACTCTGGTACCACTCCTGGCAGGACTCAGAAGATCATAATAGGATTCCAGGGATCCTATCATAATAGGATTCCAGGGCTGGAGCTATAGCACAGCGGTAGGGCGTTTGCCTTGCACGCAGCCAACATGGCCGACCCGAGTTCGATTCCTCCGCCCCTCTCGGAGAGCCCGGCAAGCTACCGGGAGCATCTCGCCTGCACGGCAGGGCCTGGCAAGCTCCCCGTGACGTATTCAATATGCCAGACACAGTAACAACAAAGTCTCCAATGGAGGCGTTACTGGGCCCGCTCGAGCAAATCGATGATCAACGGGAGGGCCTTTTATTATTTATCCATGTCTTGCCCAAGATCTGGTATCAGCCTTTTCTCCAAGGAGCAAGTATCTTTTAGGTAGATACAGAATTCAGAGACAGTGTCATACAATTTTCCTTTAGTTTTAGTGTACTTTCATATTGTTGGCGTAGTCATGCCTCGTTATTCTTATCCAAAACTGTCTTAGCTATTTTCCAAAATGTATTTTTCCAGTAGAACTTTAAAATCAACCTGCCAAGTTCCGAGAGGAAAATCACATTAAAATTCTGATTAGAATTGCATAAAATGTATAGACTAACTTGGAGAGGGTTGAAATGCTTGGCATATTAAGCTTCTCCATCTGAAAATATAAAATGATTTTGCATCTCTTCAGTCTGTTTTGTTTTGTTTTGTTTTCATTTGTGTTTTTGGACATGCAAGGCAAGTGCCCTACCCACTGTACTATCATTCTGGCGATTCTCTTATGTTCAGTAACAAAATTCCATCATTTTCTTCATAAAAGCCTGAGACATTTCTGATCCAGTTTTCATTTTTTTAAATTATATAGAATTTTTACTATAACAAAAGGGATTTTTTCCTCGGTTTTTAAAAATTTCTTCGTGTGCATATATGTATGTGCATACAGACACCAGGATCGAACCCAGTATCTCACCAAACAATGCATACTCTCTACCAATGAGCTACATTCTTGTCCAGCCAAATAGAACTCTTTTTTGGTGAGGGGGTTACATGTGGCATGTTTGAGGTTCTATTTTTATTTCATTGTTCAGAGCTCAGAGGCTACTCCTGATGATGTTCAGGAGATGCTCACTGAAAACAATATGGTACCAGGGACCAATCCTGGTTTGCCAAACTGATGCATCACCTATCCCCAAAATCTGGTCCCCAAACCAGATTTATTTTTAGCCCTTACGGTTTCTTATTGCTGAGAATTTGCTAATTCCTGCTATGTATCTTACATACAATCACATTCTTTTTCTTCCTTCTTTTGGGGTAGCCACACCAGTGGTGCTCAAGGCTTACTCATGGCTCTGTGCTCAAGGATCACTCCCCGAAGTGCTCGGTGGAATATGTGTGGTGCCAGGAACCAAACCTGGGTCAGCAACTTGCAAGGTAAGCACCCTGCCTGCTGTACTATCATTCCAGCATCACAGTCACATTCTTAACCTTCCTTATCCTTTCAAATTTTTCAGTTAATTCCATTATAGATTTGTTTTGGGGCCACACAGGTGGTGCTCAGGGCTTACTCCTGGCTTTGAGCTCAACTCACTCCTGTTAGGCTCCGAGGACCTTATGGGATGCCAGGGATCAAAAACCAGGTCAGTTGCCTGCAAGGCGAGCACCCTACCCACTGTACTATTGCTCTGGCCCCTCAATTATGGATTTCATACAAATAGAAAATAGCACAACTCGGGGCTGGAGCGATAGTACAGTGGGTAAGGCATTTCGCTTGCATGTAACTGACCTGGGTTCAATCTCCTGCATCCTAAATGGTCCCCTGATCACCTCCATGAATTATTTCTGAGCTCAGAGCCAGGAGTAACCTCTAAGCATCACCAGGTATGGACCAAAACCAAAATGTTTAAAAAACAGCATTAATTCACATCTAAGAATGTGTATTTATCCTTCTTTACATGTAACCTCTATGTATTCTATCCTCTAGCCCTGCTTAAAATCTTAATGCAATGATTCCCAAGCCTCCCAGAGGATGCTTGAAGAACTGAAGCACTGAAGCACTGTAGCACTGTCCTGTTGTTCATCGATTTGCTCGAGCGGGCACCAGTAACGTCTCCATTGTGAAACTTGGTGTTACTGTTTTCAGCATATCGAATACGCTATGGGGAGCTTGCGAGGCTCTGCCATGTGGGCAAGATACTCTTGATAGCTTGTCGGGTTCTCTGAGAGGGGTGGAGGAATTGAACCCAGGTCGGCCTCGTGCAAGACAAACACCCTACCCGCTGTGCTATCGCTCCAGTCCTTCCAGAGGACATCTGGCAATATCTAGAGACACTTTTTGATTGTTATGACTGCTAGGAAGAAAAGGCCACTGTCATCTGATGGTCAGAGATTAGGGGTGCTATTAAAAGATAGCTCAAAGGGCTTTGCATGCAGGAGGCCTGGGTTCAGTTCCCAGCACCATGTGATCCTGAGTGACCCCCAAGCTTGTTTGTTTATTTCTGAGGGGTTGGCATTTGGTCTATATCCATGGTGCTCAAGAACTGTACCTCGCTCTATGCTTAGGAGTGACCCCTGGTGGTGCTCAGAGGACCAAATGCAACGTCAGGGATGAGTCAGGACTGGCGGCATACAAAGCAAATAAATGCCTTACCCCTGTATTATTGTTTGTTTCAGGGTACACACAGCAGTGCTCAGAGGCTACTCCTGGCTCTGCGCTCAGAAATCAGTCCTAGCAGTGTCCAGGGAACCATATGGGAAGCCAGGAGTCAAACCTGGGTCAGCTGTTGCATGCCTTACCCACTGTACTGTCTCTCTAGCCCTTCCCTTAACTTTTTTTTTCTTTTTGGGTCACACCCAGCGATACTCAGGGGTTATTCCTGGTTCTGCACTCAGGAATTATTCCTGGCGGTGCTTGGGGGACCATATGGGATGCTGGGAGTAGAACCCAGGTCAGCCGCGTGCAAGGCAAGCACCCTACCCGCTGTGTCTTCCCTTAACTTTTGAATACAACAAATCACAGTCTATCCAACCACCTTTCAGTTTTCCAAAACAAACTAATTTACAACGATGCTATTCCCTTAACATGCTTCTATGTTATTAGAAACTCTTAAATCTCAATTTACAAGCAAGACTAGTCTATATAGTCTTTTCTCCACATGCTCTTATAAAATAAAAAATGAAACTTTATCTTTTCCTAGCCTCAGAAAGGACTTCAAAATCATCTGCTCTCTGAGGCTTTAGTAAAATTGGCCAGAAAATCAATGGCCCTTATTTATGCCTTCTGGGGGGAAGTTCCTTTCCACTGAGTCCTTTTCCAGTTCTTCTACGCTGATTCTTCACCAACTATGGCAAATAACATAGGTGTTGTGGCTATTCTATGTGGAATATCAAAGAGGAACTAAGTAGGTTGTCAAGGGGCTAGGTGGGATGGGTAAAAAGGGCTTCGGGGCATAAAGGGCTCTCACAGGTTGTGATATCTGGAGGAGCATAGCTGTCACTCAGGTAGGCGTTGCTGGGTTTGGCCACCTTTAGGTAGACGACATCGTATGTATTCTTAAGGGCTGCTACAGCATCCTCGTGCATAACATCCTCCAGCCCCACACTGTTGACCTGGGGAGGAGGGAAGCAGAGTTCAGAGAGCAAATACTTGGTGAAGTTCAGGTTTCCAAGGCCAGGCAGGAAAGTGTGCCAAGGAAAGTAATGGGGGTCCTCACCGCCAGGATTTTGTCTCCAATCTGCAACCTCCCATCCTTGTGGGCCGCACCCCCTTCGATGATCTTCGTCACATAGATGCTATTATCTCCTGGGATATGCTGGTTCCCAACACCCCCTGCGATGCTAAAGCCAAGACCTAGAAGAAGGGGTGAGCAGAAGTGGGTAAGCCGGCTCTAAGGGGCGTGGGGCAAGGAGGCAGGTGGAGGAACCCCATGGTACATTACCTTTAGGTCCCTTGATGAGTTTGATTTCCATGAGCTTCTCAGCTGGGGGCTTCCGCCGCATGACGTAGAGGCGGACTATGGAGCCAGCTTCCTTGAGGGCCTCCACGGCAGCAGAGTGAGTCACCTCCCGCACATCCACTTCATTTACGAACAAGATGCTATCATTGACCCTGGGGGCAGAAAGGTGGGCCTGAGCCAGGAGCCTTGGGCTGCCACAGCCCTTCCTTTCACAGAACGAAAACCCTAACCCTTGGCTCTTCTCCCCACCTGAGGCGACCATCCTGGGCTGCAGCCCCACCAGGAATGATCTTGGTGATGAAAATGGATGGGTCGTCACCAATGTGTGGGTTGTCAGTGCCACCTGCGATGCTGAAGCCCAGACCTGAGTTACCCTGGGCAAAATAAGAGACAGAGAGTCAGCTCACTCACTGCACATCAGGGCAGAAATGACAGGGAACAGGAAGCGTGGCAGGGTAGAGAGACACAGAGTAAGGGCTTGCCACCCAGAAAACACGGGCAGAAGGCAGCACCGACCAGAGGGGCTCAGACAGAGGCGCCTGCTCACCCTTTCCAGCGTGATCTCCTCGTATTCCATCTCCCCCTCTGTTCCATTCACCTGCAACTCCAGCGGATCAGAAACACAGACACAGTGAGCCGGAGACTCCTGGGGAGCCTGACCAAAGACCCAGACCCTCCCTAGCCCCTCCGTGAAGACCAAGACCCTCCCACACCCCCTCCGGTCTGCAAGGTCCCCAAAATCTAAACAACTCACATATCCTGGGGCTTCTAGGGTATCTGTGTTGACAATCACAGGGGGTGAATTGGCCTGTGGGGGGGTGGGGAGGAAGTAAGAGATGAAAGTTGCCTGAGCCTTGGCTCCAGAGGAAGCTGGTGATGAAGAGTCCCACGAGCCAGTCTGATTCTTGCCATCCTTTTAACCTAACCGCACCCCTCAAGGCTACAGCCACACATGCCCGTGTACATGAGCCTAACTGTGCCCCGCCGAGGCCCCTACATGTGGAAGGAGAGGTACGAGAAGGGAGAAGGGAGCGACGGCCAGACTAGGAGCAGCAGATGGAAAGGAGTGAGGAGGGAGGGGCTGGGAGAGCTTCTCACCGGATGTAGCACCACAGGGGTGTCATGTGCCTATGTGCTACACATAGACACCCCGGGACGTACGTCCACCGGGTGCAGCCCTCTTCTGCTTGGTCCTCTTCCTGTCCTATCTCTCCACACAGAGACTCACGTGCCTTTATTGTCCTACCAGAGGTTTGACCCTCACCTTCGCACACATCTGCCTTAATCCCTGAGCCTTGGAATCTAGGGGTTCCCCCAGCTGCGAGGCCTTTCTTCCTTCTCACCCACCCGCCATCTAATCCACCCTTCCTCTAGGGACCCTGTTGCCTAGCAACAGTATCTCAGCCCAGCCAAGGCTTGGGGAGACCCACCTCCTGGAGACCTTGTCGTCAGGACAACAGGAAAGGAGGAAAAGGGAGGGAAGAGAAGGACAGGCGTGGCTTGGGGGGGGGGGGAGCAGACACCCGAGATCCGCCTCTCCAACCCTGTTAGCCCAGCTGAGAAGTCCCTGCTATGGAGCTTTGTGGGCACAGCTCAGAACAAATATCCTCCCTTCCTCCTCTTCTCCCTTTCTTCCTCCCTCTCCCATTCCCTTCATCTACACAGTACAGCTAGGTCCGGTTCTCTCATCTTCCAACCCACCTTCGCTCAGGAAAGGGTTAAATGGGGCTTAACCAGATCCCTGACATTGCTGGATACGGGAGAGGCCAGATTTAAGCTGGTTCTAAGGGTTTCCCCAAATGCCAGAGCAACGGCAACCACATCGTCCAACCACATCGTCGCTATGGCAATAAAGGGAGGCGATCTATCTCCTCCCTTTCTTGGGGAGGGGGGACGGGAAGGGGGCAAAATACCAATCACAAGGCATTTATCTTCAAATCCCTAGACTCTTTCTCGCTCTTCCCTTTTAAAGGGGGTCCCCACGTCCCCCCTTCCTCTTTCTCCCAATCTATCTCCTCCTTATTTATTTGCAACCCACCCAGCACAAGACATTTATCAATGATTCCCCAGACTCTTTCCTGCTCTTCCCTTCCAGCAGGGAGTGCCCAGCTCTCCCTGACTGCTATTTCTCAATACTAATTACCATTTTCAAGTTCTAAAATAGACCAGATATCTATAAGTCTACGAACACCATCCCCCGGCCCTTCAAACCTCAGCAAAGGCTACTGTCCAGTCCACAGCCACAACAGTCAAAATCTCATCCACATGTCCTTCGTCTACCCCATAGAGCCCATCCTCACTTCCTGACCCCAGCCTTATTCCCAGATCCCATCTCTAACCCTGACTTGCTTTCATCTTCTTCCCTCCCCTCACTTCTACTCCTCCCACACCTTCCATATACAATCCTGGTCGCACTTTCAAGTTCCTCCTTCTAACCTTAGCCTCGACTCTAGCCCCTTCCCTGTCACTGTGCCATCCTGCAGCTGCATCCCTCAGCAATCTTCTGCCATTATCCTCCACCATCGCTTCTATTCCCTGGAGGAGAGAGCAGCACCACTTTAGCTCACCCCACGTTCATACCTCCGAGACTCTTTCCCCACATCCTAATTCACTTCTCAGCACATCCCCATCTCCTGAAAATTGGTGCTTCTCCTATCCTTGTCAAGCCTTGTCCTGAGCCCTCCATCATACATACACTCAGAGCCTCTGGCATATCCCTCGGGTTCCATCACTCCCTAGCATGGTCCTAACTGTCCCTGTCACGCTCACTTCTCTCTGTCTCTGTCCGTGAAGCCTCCATCCTTCCTGCCCTCCTTGCAGGGGGGACTTCAGGGGGAAACTCTGTGCCACCTCCCCAATTCCTGGTCTGACTCTCTTTCCTCTCTCTCAGTTCTACCTGCTGTTCTGATTTCAGTCTCACCCCTGTCTGGCTCCTGCCCCAGAAATACGCGAGTTTCATCCTTTCTCAATTTTGCTACATGCCAGAGAATGGACCCGCTATGCCCCCCAACTCCTGCCACCTCCTCACCCCAGGAGCTCATCAGCCCGGGGTTCATTAACCGCTTCCCCATCTTCTTGGTGAAATTTTCAGCAGCCTTCCCATTCTCAGGGTATTCACAAGATCTTGCAATCCCAATCCTAACTCTCAAAGCTTACAATATGCCCACTATTCTCCCTTTCTCCTCGTCCTGTGCCCCAAGAGAAGACTCAGGGAGAAGAGAGAAGGGGGACTTGGAGAGTCAGACAGTCCCGGAAACCAGGCATCTTCAGGACTACAAAACACAGGGGGAGCACCGAGAAGAGGAAACCAGTAGTAATGAACAGTAATGGGGGAGAGAAGGGTGCGGAACGGTGTGGATGGAGGTGAGAATCTGAGAGCGGTCTGAAGGGAAAGCAGAGAACATGTAAAGGGGGCAGGGATGGACCAAGGCTGCTCAGGCCGCAGAGGGCCTGAGCCGGGGATCAGGGAGAGGGAGGAGTGCGTGGGAGGGAGAGAGCGACAGCATCAAGCACCAGCCAGCAGTCAGCAGCCAGCAGGGAGGGAAAAGCAGCGGGGGAAGGGGAGGCAAGGGAGGGAAGCAGAGGCTGAGGCAGAGCTGAGGCAGAAAGGGACCACAAGCCAGGTGGATGGAAGGGACTGGCCAATTCAGGAACGGACGGCTGGGCCCAGAGGTTGGAAATGGGAGGAGGAGGGCCCCGGGATCTCTAAGCCGCGTCTGGACACACACACAACACAGCCAAAGGAACACCGCCCTACCCCTTGGGGACTGATGCCGCACAGGCTCCGAGGCTCCGAGGGCCACACTGGGGAGGGCCCGTCCGAGTCTCCTACCTGGATGGGGGAGAGGTGGGCGTGGCCCACGACCCCGTGGACCGCCTCGAGGTGGGCCAAGTTCCTCTCCGCCACGTGCACCAGCTCGGGGGCGTTTACCTGGTTGGGGAGGTGAGCCGGGCTGTGCTCCAGAGGGGGCGTGTCTTCATCTTGGTAGCGGTATTTCTGGGGACCAACCGGGAGGCAACGTCACTGGGGCAGGCCCCCGCCAGCCCCCGGCGCCTCCCAAGTACCACCACCTCCTCTTCCCAGACCACGGCAAAGCGGGAGGCCCTGGGGCCAGCCCATCTCCTCCCCCTCCCTCGCCTCCAGCCCATTGGCCCCTAACCGCAAGAGACCTGACACCTCTCCTCTGTCCCCAGGACCCTCCCCTCCCCCAAATCCTGCTTTTAACATTCTGGGATCACCTCCCCCACTTTCTCCTCAGCACACTCCCTCCCTTTCATACCTTCCCCCACTGTCCCTTCCTGGTCCCAGCTCCTGTGACATTGGGAACCTTTGCATCCATCCTCACCCTCTTCATGCCACTCCCTGAGCTGTGACCTCCCTCCTTCCTTGTACTATGGCTCAGCCCCCATTGGACTTCCCAGCCAAACCCCACCCTAACTGCCTCAGTCTCCCCACTGCAGCCTCTAAACCCCCTGAACCAGCCACTGGCTTTCCAGCACCTCGAATGCCCCCGGCAGAGACCATGGTGAGACACTTCCACTAGCAGGCACTTGGCATCGGCCCCACAGGCAGAACAAGGCTGAAGGCATCCAGCTCTTTCTCCACTGGCCTCAATGGCGCCCACATAGTCAGAAAATGGACCCCCAAAGTCTAGCCACACCTTTAAAAATAATCACATTCCAGTCAATTCATCCAATATGCCAGAAGGCACCGGGGAGGAAGGGAGAGGTAAAGAGGCAGCAAGGACTCTGAGGAGGACAGGAATGGGTGACAGGTTCCTTCCTGGGAAGGAAGAGAGTGCAGAGCCTGACTGTGAGTTCCTGGTCTCTTACAGCCCTTTCGAGTGGAAAACCCCTCATGACTCCTGACTTATAACCACCTGCCTCCTGTGCTAATTTAATAGGCACAATGAGATTAACTGGAGGCCAGAGAGAGAGAGGGGCATCTGGAGAGAGCTATGAAAGGCAATAATCCTGCCTGATTCCTCCTACATCTGTGCCAGACAGCATAGAAACAGACCCTCTCATGGGGCTGAGTGAGAGTACAGGGATAGGGCCCTTGTCTGACCCCTACGGGCAGAGTCAGGAGTAAACCCTGAGCACAGCCAGGTGTGGCCCTCCACTCCCCCGCCCCCCCAAAAAAAGAAAGAAAGAAAAGAAGAAATCAGCTCTCTCAACCCCAAGAGGAGAAAAAGAATGAGGAGGCCACATCCAAGACTCCCTCCGTGATTGGAGAAGATAAAATACACTCCCTAAAACACATTGTTCATAAGAAAAGGCAAGGAGACTGGAGAGTTAAGGAAATGGCATTGCGTCTGAAGGACTCAATACAACCTCTAAGCTCAGAGCCAGGAGTAGCCTCAGCACCTCAGGATGTGGCCCAAACCACCCCATCCCAAAGAAAAAGAAAAGAAGCTTGTCAAAGTCAATGCCCAATATTTGAGTATGATTCTGAAAAGCCTGAGGCTGATGAATCAAAGATGAGGATGTAGCCCCACATGAACTGTCGCCAAGAGAACAGAGGAGGGAAGTGACAGTGAGCAGGGCAGACCCTCATGACCAGGAGACAGAGAGCAAGAATCTAGGAGAACCGTGATACAACTGAAGAGTCTTAAAGAGGGGCAAGAGGGAAGCGTCTTAAAGAGGAGCTTATCAAAACAGACTTTGGCCATGACGTGGAGGGGGAATTCTCTGAGGTTTCAATACCACGGGCAGAAAATGTCGGGGAAAGGGGAAAGGAGGGATGTATTTAGTAAGCAAAATAGTGTCTTCAACAGCTGAGCCATCTCAAATAACAGGATCCAACGGACCGAAAACGGCTGCTTACTCTACAGCCTGAAAAAAATCTTAAACCTGGATAATGGCCCAGAACTGGAGGGTCCAGAAAGACAGCAGGACGCAGTTTTCTGCACGAGCCCTCGCAATTCCCAAGAAGTACGTGGGTCAGAGTCAAGAGCTGCAGCTTCAAATCTGGAGTTTAGGGGAGGGTTTAAGCCCAACACCCCTCTAGCACTATCCCATATCACAGAGAAAATTCCTAAATCTGATGTAGTATCAGGGTGCACATAAAGAAAATGGAAAGGTAAAGACGGTTATTTTGTGGTTTATTCTAGAGAGGAAATGAAGGTAAACTATTATCACAGTGAGACTGCAGACAACTGTACCTGCCCCACCCCCAAGAGGGAAGAAGGAGTCAAAACTGGGGGAAAGGCTTCTTATTGGGAAAGGATGTGAAGGAAAAGGGGAACAGGAACAGGGAAGGAGACCAAAGTTCCCGGAACGTGGCTAACGGGGGTTAGGGCTTATGTTTCATCCGTTAATCTCTGGGAAATTTTCAAGTAGATGTAGCAAGGAAATCGGGGGAGGAAGGCCTTCTAGAAGGGTGAGGATGAGTGTAATTCCAGAACTGCAGTCTTCGGGGGTGGGACCGGGTCTTTAGCCCCAAATTACAGCACAGTGAATGCAGACAAGGCAGACAAGGAGAATTCCTTCCTTTACTCTACTGGGACTCCGGCTGACAAGAGACAGCTTGGATGCCATTGGCGGACCAAGTCTGAACCCCCAATATAAAAGGACATGAAGCAAGAAAAACACTTAGGGATAGCTGCTCTTCCTTCCCCCGTGAGCCCCTCATCATTGGAGCCCCAATTCCATAGAATGACCTGGAACCCAAGGCTGCACCCGGAGAGACAGGGGTGTGAGTCAAAGTGAATGATGATAAGGGGGCGACCCACTGTGCCTATTCGCCATACACTGCAACCCAAAGACCCCACACCAAGCAGAAGGAAGAGCGACAACACTTGAAGCTTGCACCCTGAGATTTGGGGGGTCCGGAAAGAGGGGAGCGGGGCCGGAGCCCGTACCGCGGCACGTACCACGCAGAGACACATGGAGGCGAATCTGTTCCGAGCCGACATGGAGGAGGGGAGGGGGAGTCGGGGAGGGGTGGGTGGGAGAGCGAGGGTCCCGGGGTTGGGGAGGGGGAGGGGTAGAGGGGCGGGGGCTGCGGCGGCTGAGGCGACTGGAGGCTGCGGCCGGAGGGGGGGGCAGCGCCTGCGCAGTGCGGGAGAGGCGTCACGGAGGGGGGGCGGTGCGGGGAGACCCTCTGGGCCAGCAACTTCCTCGCTCCACCCAGATCTGCCAGTTCCGACCCCCCTACAGAGAACTTCTAAAACGGACCATTTTATTCCCCCGATTCTCTGGGCCCCTTCTTCCAGACAATCGCCCATCTCTAAAATCACCTCATCATTCCAAAAGCTCACCTCTTATCTTACCGGACTCCTAGGATGCAGGCAAGGAAGCAGTACTTCTCTCACTTAAGAAGGACCTCCAAAGAATCTACAGTGCCTCTGACAAGCCTCTCCCTTCAACCCCACCCCCAAGGATTGCTAATGTGGACAGCATCCCCCTCAGACTCTTCCCCACCGGATGGTCAAAGGAGTTTAGATCCTTTAAACTAACCCTTTAGAAATCACCAGTTCATTAACAGAGACATTGAAACACTACCCTCCTGTTAATATAAACATCCAAACAGGGGCTAGGACAATAGTTCAAAGAAATGGGGTGCACGGTTTGCACGGGAGCCACAGTGCACCAAGCAGAAACCAGAGGAGCCCCCAGAACCCAAAATAAAAGTAAACAGCATCCAAATAAGCCGCCCTCAAATCTGTTTCCAAATCCATGGGTCCAATAGGTATTCATGACTTGCTAATATGTTAGTTCCCAACGTCACCAGATCTCTTTTTGGACACCAAATGCATCTTAAATATGACCCTCAAATTAAATCAAAAACTCTTCCATTTACTCCCATTGAAAGGTATTTCTGTCCTTCTCCTCCTCTTCTTAATTTTTTTTTTTTTGGTACTGTTGCTGGGTATTGAATCCAGGACCTTGCAGGCAAATGCATTTTCTTCCACTTCCACTGACCTACATTCAGAGGCCTATCCCTTTGTTTCATCTCATCCCTAAAGTTCATACATGCCACTTCCTACACCTCAACCATGTTTCTTAATTTCAACTCTGTTGAAATACTACCCCCAAAAGAGCTATTTATCTCACACCTAGATCTCAAAAAACATTCAGTAAAATTAAACCCAGTCTGCAATTTACAGTGACCCACACAACTTCCAAACACACCCCAAACAAACCAACTGCCCCACGTCTCTTCCAGGTCTTCTATTTTCTCCCTAACCAATGAATCTTAAAGCATCTCTTCCAAACATTCTCCCATTGAACGCCCACCTTTCCAATTAAAAGCCCAGTGAGTAGTCTCCTCGAATCTACTTCTGTACAGCGGGTAGGATGATTGCCTTGCACACCTCCAACCATGGTTCGATCCCTGGCACCAAATAATGGTCCCCTGAACCCGCCAAGAGTGATCCCTGCGCGCAGGGCCAGGAGTAAGCCCGATCAACACCGGGTGTGGCCCCAAAGGGGGCAGGGGTGGGGAGGAGGGGAATCAGGAAAGATGGACTTCCCTAGCATCTCACCTTACCCAGACACACTCTCTGCCATTAAATGAAATCTGTTATATACTCCCCAAAATGAACCCCGATGCCCTAGTTTCATATCTGGAGATAGAATGCTCAGATTCTCAGAGGGCGCATTGCGGAAAAGCAGGACGCGAAATGCCTTCTAAAATAGAAGATGCACAGGCCCTATTTCTCCACCAGTGGGCGCTACGGCCCACTAAGACCCTCCGCACCCCCCCACTTCCTTTTTCCCTCCATTTTCCGTTTCCCCGTTGCCTGGCAACGCAGAAATCAAGGACTTTGCTGTAGCCGGGCAACCGTCTCCCTGGAACATAGAGTTGAGGTAGGAGGTTGTGCTCTGGTGAAATTTGAACAAGCCTCCATCTTTGAAAAACTGAGACGTCAGATCGCCCAACCCCGGATTCTCCTTTTCGAAGACCCCAGCGCTTCTTACTCACTCCAATCTATGCTCGCCTCTTTCCGCGTGCTGGACCACGCCACGCCCCTCCCGGGCGAGCCCCGCCTCATCTCGGTCAAGCAACCCCAGCCCCGTGGCCCCGCCCCGTCCAGAGGATGCGCTCCCCCTCCCGGATCGAGTAAGCCGGACCCCACCCACCTGCCGCGGCAAGACCACGCCTTCGTCCACGGCCCTCCCATTCGCTCCCCCGGCCTCGCCCACACTGTCCGTCCGCCTCGCCCCTGTGGCCAATGAATGAGGCCGTTGGTCACACTGCCCCGCCCCCAGCATCCTAGATTTGCCCAATAAGGACCACCTGGAGGCTTTAACCGCTTAGCCCCGGGCTTAGTGCAAACATTCCGGTCTTCCCCACTTTCCGCCCTCCCCCACTTGTTCTGCTCCGCCCTCCGCCACCCTCGCCCGGCCCTCAGAGCAGCCACGCAACTTCAGTCGTCGACGGTTACCATGGCAACGGCGGCAGCAGCGCGGGGAGAAGGGGGAGGGACGGGGGCGGAGTGGGAGAAAGAGATGCTCAAAGACTGAGAGATCCCCTCAGATCGGTGTAAAATTAAGTGATAGCTCTAAAGGCAGAATTTGCACAAACCGCGGGGCCTGGCACTGCGCGAGTCTTCAATAAACGTTCTTTAAATTACTGCGGCAGGAGTCTAAATATAGGCAATGAAAGATGGAGGACTCAGAACGAAGGCAAAGCCTGAGCAGCCCCTACCCCATCCAGCATTTAGCGGGGGCAGCTCGATGCCATGCTGGCTCCTCCTGCTGGCTCTTCCTAAGCTACCCTCCACTGCCCTGGATAGAGATGAACCACAACTCCCGAGAGCCTCTGGAGCAGCAACTGTCTTAACATTGAGGGTTACTGGGCCTTGAAGCCTCATGGGAGTTGGAGTCTCCGCCATCCTGGAACTGACAAGTTTTGGGGCCAAGGAATGTGGCAAGCCTGGGTCTACACGCCTCTGTAAAACCCAAATGCATGATCATCTGCGCACAAGATTCCTTCTTCAGGAGAAGCTCAACCCTGGGATCCATCAAAGTAGGAGTGTGGGAGATGATAAGCCCCACCCCCGAGGATCACTGCCAGTGCGATCAAGCCCCTCACCCTCTCTCGCATGTGTGTATGTTCACGTGTTCACAGCAGAGCCCACACATTCCAGTTGGTCTACTGTGGACACTGTACACAGGGGACCACCGCAGGGAACTCAGGCTAAGGGCAGGTCAAGGACCGGAAACAGGAAGACCAGAGGAACAGACAGACACTAGAAGAGACCAAGTCAGAGAAACTGGGCTCAAAAATTCACTGACACTGGTGGTTGGGGTGGTTGTGGTGGGAGTGTGGGAGGGAAGGGGGAGCTGTGTGAGAGAAAGCCCTTGGACCCACAGAACAGGGAACAAACAAGTAGTCTTCAGAGCAGTTGAAGCTCCAGACCTATAGGTCCTCCTGCCCCAATCTCTTCCATCCATCATTCACATGTGCACAACACATGTGCATACATATGTGTGAGTTTGTAACAGGGAACATGTGTGTCCTTAGCTCTCTCCCCTGAGAAGCTGCAGTTCCCACTAAATATAACCCCCTCCCCAGCCTGTGACTCACACAGACCCCGCCTCCCCGGCCCCCACTTCCTGTCCCACCCCCCCAGCCCCCAGCTGCCTGCCACCCTCCCAAGCATCCCTCTACACACCAGGCATCCAGCTTTCCAGTCCTAGCTCGAAGCTAAGACCTAGGCTATTTGTCATCCCACCAGGAGTGTGCCTGCGATGCCTATCCTAAACCTCCTGCTCTTCCCAGCTCCCATCCAACGTGGGACACCTCTGTACAGATTTTCCCAGTCACCTCCCTGCCCTCCTACTCCTTTCCACCCCAGTAACCTTAAATCCAGGTGTCCTCCTCCACCTTGATCCGAAGTGCCAGGAGTAACAGGAACCTTTTCCTCCATCTGTTCTTATTCCCCTTCCTCAACCAGGAGTAGACATGGTGAGTGTGGAAACCTACCTGGGCCACCCCCAGGTTCTGCACTACCCACCTGTCCCCCATCTAAATCCCTTCTCTCCTAAAATCTTTCCTCCTCCTCCTCTTCAGAAGCTGGCAACCTCAGCTGCTGGAAGCTCCTACTTCTGATGGAAGCACCCCAAATCCTAACCTCACCTGGTCGATTCTCTCAGATGATCCTATTTCAAACTCCAGCCCTCTGACAACTCTCAACTCTCCTCATTTCGTGTGATCAAATCCTAAATGACCAGTTCCATCAGACTGAGAAAGCACTCCCAAAATGATCTACCACCAGATACTTGCCCTGTTAGCCTGAAGGCCAAACCCCTCCTCCGCCAGATGACAGCCCCAGACCAGTCAGACATTCACAACCAATATCATTCTGCCCCAGGCCAGGAGTCCCCTTAAATTGGACACAGCACTTGCAACCCAAGGAAGAACCTCACAGACCAACGTAGTCTAGCTCCTAGCATACAGGAGCAGGATTCCCATGAGAGCCAGCTTCTCCTTAAATAAGTCTCCCTCAAACATCAGTGGTGCTATTTGACCATTTGTGGGTTTGAACCAAACCCACAAGATCCCCCCCAAATCACAGAATACCCCAAATTCCCCATTTCCCCACAGGTACAAAGGGATCACTCCAGGAGGCACCTGTGGCCAAACCCAGCATTTTCTGATGTGAACCCCCAAACTGAATTATGATCCCCCAAAGCATTCCATATACGCATTCCAGGGTCTTCAGCCCCAAATCAGGCCTCCTTAATCCCTCCCCACAAACTCATACCCTCCCCCAGGACTGTCCCCTACCATCATGCTTACCTTGGTTGTCACTATACAGAGACAGTCCATGTTGGGGGGCCTGGCCGCTGTGGCGGGTAAGGGGCTCTGACTTCATCGGAATTTCCTTCCTCCCCTTGGTGGGTTCTCACCCCTCCCCCCTCCGCACCCCACTTTTGCAGGGGGGGCCAGGATGGGGGGAGGGGTGAGAGGGGAAAGAGGGGGTTGGAGAAGGGAAAGGGAGGGGAGCGTGGGAGGGAGGAAAAAGGGGCCAAAAAAGGGGGTCCCCAATGTAGGGAATGGGGTTTGGGGAGCACACCCCAATTTTCAGGAGGGGCGGGGGCACCGGGGGCTGGCAGCCCCGGAGTTCGGGGGCTGGGGCATGAGCTGAGGTGGGGGAGGGGAACTGGATTTCAGGGAGCCCCGGGGTGCGGGGGGGTCTTGCCTAACAGCCAGGGTCTCCGGCAGTGGTGGGGGGGCGGGGGGAGTGGGGGGGTCGGTCGCGGCAGCGGCCGAGGGAGCCGTGGAGCTGAGGAGGGAAGGGGAGAGAGGAGGAGAGAGGAAGCAGGGGGAGGGAGGAAGGGAGCGAAGAGCGAGAGAATGGGGGGGTGCCTTGGCAGAGTTAACTCCTTCGGTGCTGGCAGGAACCCGGATAATGGGAAAAGGAGACGGAAGCCAAGGCGGCGAGGTCCTAAGACCAACACGCAGAGCTGGTCAGCCGCCGGCTATGACATCAGTGACTCTGAGGATGGCTTCAGCTTCTTAGAGGAGGCAGCAGCCACATTGGCGTGTGAGCGCCAGGGTTATTTCAATACCCGGGAGAAGCCATGGCAGGGGATGGGAAGGGTAGGCAGAAGGGAATCCCAGGGGGCCGAGGTCTTCCTCAGAGTCTCCAGAGGAAGCCTAAAAAGTAAGTATGCCTAGACCTCTCTGCGTCCAAAATTGATGCAGACCTCTCCCCCCACCACCAAAGAGGAGGGAGCAGGGGGGCTACAGGATGAAAGATACTCTCTGTGCCCCTTGCTCACCCCTCTAGCTTCCTGCTTCCACAGGAATTGTGTCCCCACACTGCACCCCCTTACCTGACTCTCTGAGATGGAAGCTTCATAATATTCCAGGATATCTGTCACAGGTACAGAACTGAGTTACTTTCCCCTGGCACTGCCTCACTGGCCAGCCCTGCAGCAGCTCCTCTCTGTCTGGTACCCGAGGAGCTCCAACATGCAAGGCTAATGGGGCTTCTGGAAGAAATTTGCTTGAGTCAAAGGATCTCTAGACTCCCAACCAGTTAAAAAAGTTCGAGAGTTGCCCTGGCAACCCTGGGTCAATTCTTTTCAGTAATGCCCCTCAGAAAATAGGGTTACTCACCCAGCAAGGCCTGAAAGAGGTCACTATGTAGCACTCCGAGGAGAGGGGGTGCCCATTGCAATAGTGGGGGGGTCAGAAGCCAGAGGGCTGACCTGGGAGCTGGACAAATGCAAAGGGTGGAAGGATCAGGACAAGAGACAGATCGATACCCTCACCTCTTCCCCCAGCCCCAGCCCTTTCGGCACAGGCAGGATGGAAAAATTCAGGAAGAAGGATCCCAGTCTGTCCCCGACACCCCCCTCCCTCCTCCACAAGAACACCTTTTTTTTCACCTCTTGGTCTCTCAGACATCTCCCTCTTCTCTAATTTTAATCTCCCTGATTCACTAGGATTGGAGTTGAGCTTCCATCTCCCAACCCAATTCTAGTCATTAGGTAAAGCAGATAATCTCTGGACTAACGACTGTCCTGTTCTTCCCCAGATCCCCAGGAAGCACTCCCTTTGCTTTGCTCCATGAGTCTCAACCCCCTCTCACTAAAGCTAGGCGGCGTGACTTCAATTCACTTTCCCAGGCCAGAAAGATAGTATGAAGAAAGAATAAGGCACTTGCCGTGCACACGGCCAACCTGTTTCATAACTGGCATGACATTGATCTGAGCACCGCCAGCAGTGACCCCTGAGTACAGAGCCAAGAGTGAGCCATGCTGAGTGTAGTCCCAAAATGGGAGAAAAAAAATCACCTTGCTGAGGGACTGGGGAAGAGGGTCACTTCAAGAATTCCCCCTCCTACATCAACAAACAAACACTGTTCATCGATTTGCCCGAGTGGGCCCAGTAATGTCTCCATTGTGAGACTTCTTGTTACTGTGTTTGGCATATTGAATACTCTCAGCTCGGCCGGGCTGGCTGTGTGGAAGGCAAACGCCCTACCGCTGTGCTATCACTCCAGCCCTACATCACAGCTTAAAATAAAAGTTGCTCCTTTTTCTTGAACCAGAACCAGTTTCCAGTTGGACAGGCAGAACGGGAAGGTATAAATGATTTTTTTGTTTTTGTTTAGTACCTACAGTGCTCAGGTTTTATTTCATCCAGGCAGGCTGGGGGTGGAGGTGGGTGGCAGGATCAAACCCAGACGAGCCTGTTCTAGGATTTCTGGGTAGCTTTTTGTTTGTTTTTTGAGGAGGTAGGGTGGCAGCACACCCAGCAATGCTCAGGGGTAATACTCCTGGCGCTGCACTCAGGAATCCACTCCAGAGGTGCTCAGGCAGCCATGTGGGATGCCTAGGATCGAACCTGGGTCAACTGCATGCAAGGCAAACACCCTACCCTCTGTGCTATTACTCTGGTCCTGTTCTAGGATATTTATTTGTTTATTTATTTTGCTTTTTGGGTCACACCTGGCGATGCACAGGGGTTATTCCTGACTCTGCACTCAGGAATTACTCCTGGTGGTGCTCAGGGGACCATATGGGACGCTGGGAATCAAACCCGTGTCGGCCGCGTGCAAGGTGAACACTCTACCCACTGTGCTATCGTTCCAGCCCCTGTTCTAGGATTTTTTTTCCCTTTTGGTTCATATCCAGAGATGCACAGGGGTTATTCCTCGCTTAGGAATTACTTTTGGCAGTGCTCAGGGGACCATATGGGATGCTGGGACTCGAACTTGGGTTGGTCATGTGCAAGGCAAATGCCCTATCTGCTAAACTATAACTCCAGCCCGTTCTAGGATTTTTGATTTGTGGGAGAGGGGAGTGACAGGACAATTGCTATAGCTCCTCTAGAGCCTGGGAAAAATTCTTTTACCCAGAGGTCAAATCGATCTCAGGAGGAAATACAGGTCAGAGAGTAAAATGTTCCATCATTTGTTTTTCAGAATTTGCAAAACACCTCCTTGGCCTGAGGAGTATATGCTTATGACACACATCCCAGCTTGACTTTTTCACCCCATTATTTCTCTTTTGTGTTAGGGGAGGCTACCTCATGAAAGACCCCAGAATCTCGGGTCTTTTCATCCTCTGGCACTGGTCTTCCACTTCTTTCTGGGAAGTCTGGGAGCCCAGTACCGCAGATAGGGCACTTGCCTTGAATGTGGTGGGCCAGGCTTCAATCCTCAGCACCCGAAGCCCGCCAAGTGTGATCCATGAACCCCGAGCCCAGAACCTGAACACACCTCCGGGTGTGGGTCCCCCAAAAAAACCCTCCATGAGTCTGCCAGCCTGACCTCCCATGTGTCTATCGATCTATCCTCTTCTGTCCCTCTGACCAGCCACCTAAGCCATTGTCACTCTCTTCTGCTCCATCCCACCTCGCGACGCCTTCCAAGGACTACACTTCAGTTGGGACAGGTGGCAAGACTGAGTTCAGGTGAGACCAGGGCCATTTGTCACCCTGGGTCTACTAGGGCTGGGGAGCGGGGGAGCGGGGGAGCGTTCCGGAACTACAGCTCCCAGCATGCTCGAGCGCCGGAAGCCCCTCCCGACCGCCTCCCGGTGCATTGTGGAGCGTGAATCGGGGTGGGACGACCCAGACTTAGACAGACCGAGTCAGTGTGCTAGGTCGGCGCTCGAGGCCAGCCCGCAGGAGCAGCTCGGAGATGCGGGCCGCAAGAATAGCCCCGGGCGTGGGGCGGCAGCTGCTCAGGTTGGGGAGCGGAAGGCGAGGCGTTGAGGGTGGGTGCCGCGGGTCGGGGTGAGCGACCCCGGATTGAAGCCCCCGTCCCCCACAGCTTACGACCCAGCGCACTCTTGGGGCAGCCTGGGGCCGGCCCTGCGCAGCGACCCTATGCCAATGGGGCCGCTCAGGTAAGTGCCCGCAGCGCCGGGGGCGTGCGGGGCGCCCGCCGCTCGCCGTCCTCCCGGCCCGCCGGCAGGGGTCTCCCTCCGCATCTGCCTCCGGGCTTGGCACCGAAAGTGGGGGAAAGGGCAGGCCAAGGTGGCCGGGGCGGAAAGTAGGGGAAAGGTGGCCGGATCCACCGAGCCCCGGAACCCGGCCCTTGCCTCCGCTCTCCTGGGCTCTTCGACGTCCGCACTCGATAACCATCTTCCTCCAGGCGGTTCTGGACAAACCCGAGGCCGGAGTCTCCACCGATGCTTCCGCCGGGGAGAAGCCGGCGAAGGCGGTACGTGAGTGCCCGGAGGCTGGTCTGAGGTGTGAACCGAGCCGCCGGCAGCCACACCCCAGCCAGCTCTTCCCTGACGCTTCTTTGCTCACTGCAGGAATCCAAGTCCTTTGCTGTGGGTATGTTTAAAGGCCAGCTCACCACCGATCAGGTGTTTCCATACCCGGCCGGTAAGAGACTGGGTAGACCGGGTGGGGAAGAGCAGGATCTCCGACCACCTCACCTTGCCTGGCCTCAGCCGCCCTCTCCTGCTCCCCACACAGTGCTCAACGAGGAGCAGACACAGTTTCTCAAAGAGTTGGTGGGGCCCGTGACCCGCTTCTTCGAGGTGAGCAATTAGAGGCAGAGGACTATTTGGGCCCTGATGGAGTGGAAGAGATGTTAAGAAGCCTGAAAGCGTGGTAGATCAGAGACAGTACAATGGGTAGGACATTTGCCTTACACATAGTCGACCGGGTTCTGTCCCTGGCTTCCAAGCACCACCGGGGTAATTTCCAGACCGAGCAAGGAGTAACCCGAGCATCACTAGGTGTGCCATACCCCCCCACAAGAAATAAAAGGCCAAGAAGAAGGTGTGGATGTGGAATCCTATGATTTCCCCAGGAGGTGAATGATCCTGCCAAGAATGACATGATGGAGAAGGTGGAGGAGAACACTATGCAGGGCCTCAAGGATCTGGGCGCCTTTGGTCTTCAAGTGCCCAGTGAACTGGGCGGTGTAGGCCTTTGCAACACCCAGGTGAGGGCACCCCTCAGTTACTCCCATCATGGCAGATGCAGCCCCTCACCCTTGGGGTTCTGTGGGATGACCCTCCTAAATTTCACAGACATCTAAGTGCATCCAGTCCCCGAGGGCTGTGGACCTGACCCAGGTCCCAAGCTCTAATCCGAAGGTGGGTGGGAGGGATTCCTGACAGTAGGGCCCGAAGCCTTCTCCCACCAAAACATGGTGGGAGACATATATCCTCTGCCAGCGTCCCTTACTATACCAGTTTCCTGGTCCCACAACCTCTTTCCCCTCTGTGGGAATATTTCTCTGCCCTTTTGCCCACAAAGGTCAACCTCCCAGGCAGCCAGTTACAGTGTCACATGACTGTTTCCCCTACAGTACGCCCGCCTGGTGGAGATAGTGGGAATGCACGACCTTGGTGTGGGCATCACCCTGGGGGCCCATCAGAGCATCGGTTTCAAAGGCATCCTGCTCTTTGGCACAAAGGCCCAGAAAGAAAAATACCTCCCCAAATTGGCATCTGGTGAGGCTATAAACTAAATCTCGGGACTGGGTGTGTCCTGATCTGGACACAAATTAGGCCACTGGTACTTGGATCACAGCATTTGGGGGCATGCTGGTTGGTGGAGGTTCTGGAAAAGCATTGTAGAATACTAAAGGGAGGTGACTTGCTGAGTTTTACCAGAGGGGCTAAGGGGTAGGGTTACTGAGATTCTTTCCTAAAGAAACTTTCTTCCCAACAGGGGAGATTCTGGCTGCTTTTTGTCTAACTGAGCCTGCCAGTGGGTCGGATGCAGCCTCAATTCGAACCTCGGCTGTGCCCAGCCCCTGTGGAAAATACTATACGCTCAATGGAAGCAAGATTTGGATCAGGTTTATCTTCCGCCGTTTTCCCCTCTCTCCGCAGCCTTGGACCTCACCACGCTCGGACCTGCCTAATGATCTTCTCATTTTCCACAGTAACGGTGGCCTGGCAGAAATCTTCACAGTCTTTGCCAAGACACCAGTTACTGATGCCAGTGGAGCTGTGAAGGAGAAGATAACGGCTTTTGTGGTGGAGAGGAGCTTTGGAGGTGTTACCCAGTGAGTGGGTATGGGGAGGAAGAAAGGAGAGTGGGGGGTGGGAGAGCAGAACTGAGCTATGGGACAAATGGCTGTTCCGAGACATCCGGGGATATGTGCTAAGCCAGAGGAAGTGGACAGCACGTTCCCCATGGGACTGATGTATACGGGACTGATGCAAGGCTTCAGCTCCAGAATCACAAAAGGTGGCAAAACAGAGGTATGCCTCCTCAGTCCTCTGGGCCTCGGGCACCGAGGTGAGCCCTCCCCCCACCTCCTCTGCCCCTTTTCTGAAACTTGTGGCCTTCTCGGTTCAGACGTTCAGGCTACAAAACAGAGGTATGCCACCTCAGTCCTCTGTCCCCTCATAGGCTGGGAGTCGCGTTTTTCTCTGGTTGATAAGAGGTAGTTTATTCAGAGTGGACGCCTGTTAAAACAATCCTGGTTTCTCCACTCTATTCTGCTACAGTGGGGCCCCTGAGAAGAAGATGGGCATCAAGGCCTCCAACACAGCCGAGGTGTATTTTGATGGAGTACGGGTGCCGGCAGAAAATGTGCTGGGCGAGGTGGGGAGCGGCTTCAAGGTTGCCATGCACATTCTCAACAATGGAAGGTTCGGAATGGCAGCAGCCCTAGCGGGCACCATGAAGGGCATCATCGCTAAGGCGGTGAGTACCCAGCCCGAGGGCAGAGAGCTAGCCTGAATCCAGCTCATGTTGTTTCCCCTTGCCCTTGCCAGTGTACCTTCTGCCAGAAAACCTTTCCCTGCCAGCCATTCCAGAGCTGACATGCACAGTCTCAGCAGTGGGAGGCATGGCAACAGCCCAAGCGAGCACTGTAAAAGGCATCGTGGCATAGCTCTCAGTCCAGCCAGGACTAGAGCCAACCCCTGTCCCTCCCAGCCCAGCAGCTTTCCTCAGGAGGTTAAAAGACCACAGCATGACACCATGCCCTCTTTAAGGTGGATCATGCTGCAAATCGTACCCAGTTTGGGGAGAAAATTCACAACTTCGGGCTGATTCAGGAAAAGCTGGCCCGGATGGCTATGCTGCAATATGTGACTGAGGTGAGCCCTCCCCGACTCCCCCTGCCCCTTTTCTGGAACTTGTGGCCTTGTCGGACGTTCAGACTACAACCCCCAGCAGCACCTGGGGCAGTGGGTCTCCAGCTTTACACCAATGCCCTAGGGGATGCGGGGAGGCATAGTCAGCTCAGCTTCTGCAAAAGACTGTTCCACACTGTTCCAAGATGGCTCCAGGATACCAAATTCCACCCCGGTTCTCACCTCTTCAGCCAGTACCTTAGAAGCCCCAGCAAACGTTAACTCAGGATCAAGTATTTTGAGAGGCCTCACATGGGGACACATGGAGAGCTAGGTCACCCCTTGTCTCTGAGGATTTGGGTTTTGAGATGAGAAAGTCTGATGCCACCCTTTTCTGTATTCCTTCCCATGTCCCAACCCACAACCTCAGTCCATGGCTTACATGGTGAGTGCCAACATGGACCAAGGATCCACAGACTTCCAGATCGAGGCAGCCATCAGCAAAATCTTTGGCTCGGTGAGGTCCCGGACACACAGGGAGGGAGAGTCCACTTTGGGAACCTGGCTCCAACACCAGTTTTATATGGTTCTTTGTCCCTAGGAGGCAGCCTGGAAGGTGACAGATGAGTGCATTCAAATCATGGGGGGCATGGGCTTCATGAAGGTACAGGATGGTTCTCTGCCATGGTTCCCTGCCCTGGCTGGGTGGGGTGCAGCTGGGCCAGGAATGAGGGTAAGCTGATTTTGGCATGAGCCTCGCTGATCTGTGTTCCCCTATGATAGGAGCCCGGGGTAGAGCGAGTGCTCAGAGATCTTCGTATTTTCCGGATTTTTGAGGGGACAAATGACATTCTTCGGCTGTTTGTGGCTCTGCAGGGCTGTATGGTAAGAGGAAGGGGACCTGATGGGAGGACAAGGAGTCCTGACTTGAAATCCTGATTGTGGTTTCTCCTCCCCCCCAGGACAAAGGAAAGGAACTCTCTGGGATTGGCAGTGCACTTAAGAATCCTTTTGGGAATGCCGGCCTCCTGCTGGGAGAGGCAGGCAAACAGCTGAGAAGGTAAGTTAGGGCGCAAGGCAGGGCAGAGCAAGGCAGGGTGGTATCAGCAACTTACAAGTCGCTCTCACCCTTCCTCTAGGCGGGCAGGGCTGGGCAGTGGCCTGAGTCTCAGTGGAGTTGTCCACAAGGACTTGAGTCGAAGTGGTGAGCTGGTAAGTAGTCAAAGGAACAGGGGACAGCTTGCACCCAGGACTGATGGGTCTGGGCCCCCTCTGAGCCTGATACCTTCCGTCTCTTCAGGCAGTTCAGGCTTTGGAGCAGTTTGCTACCGTGGTAGAGGCCAAGCTGATAAAACACAAAAAAGGGATTGTCAGTGAGTGACCTCTCTACCCCATCCCCACTGCCTTTTTTCCTCTCCTTTCAATTAATACCCCCAACCCCGTCCCATCTCATTACCTGACAGATGAGCAGTTTCTGCTGCAGCGTCTGGCAGACAGTGCCATCGACCTCTATGCCATGGTGGTGGTTCTTTCCAGGTAAGGAGGCAGTGGGGAACCTGAGCTGGAGGTGGGGTCTGGGGCCAGGGTCACAGGCTAGATTTGTCCTCCCCCTACTTCCCACCAGGGCCTCGAGATCTCTGAGTGAAGGCCACCCCACAGCCCAGCATGAAAAAATGCTGTGTGACAGCTGGTGTATTGAGGTGAGGCTGGGGTTTCTGAGTGGAGTGTGGCGGGGAGAGGGGCTCACAGCGCAGGACTCAACCGCTGCTGCCTCCACAGGCAGCCGCCCGCATCCGGGAGAACATGGCCGCGCTGCAGTCAGATCCTCAGCAGCAGGAGCTCTTCCGGAACTTTAAAAGCATCTCCAACGCCTTGGTGGAGCAGGGGGGTGTGGTCACCAACAACCCCCTTGGCTTCTGAAGGTTCCTAGCCAGTTCTTTCTCAGAATGTGCCTTTACTCAAGCCAAAGCCAAGGCCTTTTTCCTGGGGGCCCAGCTTGTGCCTTGAAAATTTCGGGGCCTGCCCCACAGGAAGTGCTGATCACCACCTTACAAATAAAGTTGCTAATACATCACTCTGCTGTTCCATCTCGGTCCTTTCCCTTGCTGCCTGCCCAAAGAAAGGAGCCAGAGGCACGGGGAGTTTGCCCCTATTGCTTTATTGGTTTTCATACAAGTGACTAAAATAAATAGAATAACAAAAGCAGCTACACGAACCCCAAATACCAAACACATCCCCAGCTTCCTTTGACTACTTACTGTCTATGGGTGACTGATTGATTCCCTTCTTCCTCCCAACGTACCTCTGACCACCACACACCCTCCCCGACCTCCAAGCCCTGTCCAAGGCACAACTATCTGGGGGAACGGACTAGGTCCTCATATTCTGGGATTAGAAGAAAGGGTCCAGTAGATGGGGATTCTTCATATAAAGTAAGGAATGTGTACTAAAAAAATAGTCCAAACAATGTAAGAAATTCTATTTTACCCCCCTCAGGCTTATTAAAAAAAAGATAAAAAAATTATTGGAGGTCCCTCACAAGGAAGGAGGAGGAACCAGGCACTGCTAGAAAGTCACAATGGCAACAGCGTCACAGCAGGCAGTAACCAACAGGACAAGCTGAGCCCAGGCACCAAAGGAGTGATGAACACATATGACTGACAAGACATGCAGTCATAGAACAAGCACCAAGCACCACTGGCCAGGCCGTGGTGCAGATCCAATATGGCCCCTCGTGGGACCTACATGACATCCACAAAGAACTCACTGGGGTTACCCATGGCCATGTGGAAGCTTTGGCGGCTAGCAGTTAGCTCTGGAGGCACAGAGCCCAGATCTCTGACTGGAGGGGCCCCTGGCGGCTGTACTGCTGGAGGCACAGGAGGCAGAGGTGGGGGCATCATGACCACCATCATGGGGTTATACGGGAGGGCCATACCTGGGGGTGGTCCATAAGGATGGAGTCCTGGGTGGGCTCGGAGATTGGGAGGGCCTCCCGAAGAGCCCCTGGACAGAGGTGGGCCACCATCCCCATTCCCCCCAGGCTCCCCAGCCCGCCGAATGCTGCCCCCTCGGCTGGAGGGCTCCGACTCACTGCCGCTGCCGGACTTGGACTCGGGGGCCCGTTCCTCAGGCCTCCCTGTGCGCCCTGCCCCCCCATCGCTTCGTGTCGACCCACTGCTCCGGCTCCCTGCAGGGAGAGGGGATGGGGCACTGAGTCCTGGGCCAGGGCCCCTCAGCTACCCCAACCCCTCCTAGCCGCTCCTCCCTGGTTTCCCCGCAGACCCATCCCTGGTCCCAGGCTGCGCCAGGATCTGACAGGGACTTACCCTCACTGTGCTGGCTGCTGGCACTGCCTCCACCGTAAGTGTAGGAAGAAAGCTCATGGTAGGGTGGCGGCTGAGGGCTGTATGGGTGTGGGGTGGGATACTGGTAGGAGAACGTAGGCAGCAGGGGCCAGGGGGTGGCACCAGGCAGAGGAGCCAAGGTATCCTGGTCTGATGCCCCACTGGATCCATCGTTGTCATTCAGAGAGAGGTTGACTAGGTCTAGAAAGCAAAATCAGAGTTACTGCCTTGACAGGAGGGGATGCTCACCACGATACTAACAACGAGCGCGCTAGAGAGTCGCTGCTCTGAACGGCAAAGATCCCAGACGCCGAATGAAGAGGAACTGGGAACTGCCTCTTCGGAGAGATCAAGATGGGCATTGAAACAAGCAAATTCAAGGACCTCTGACAGGAAATGCCCCACCTATCATTGCAGAAGGGCAGGAATACAGTCAGGTTTGGCCACAGCAGGCCCGTATGTCTCCAGGAGGCTCAGGAAGAGGACCATCCCCAATGGCAAAGCCAGCCCTGCTGGGGGGTGGGGAGGGGTGCACACGCCCTCACACAATGAGAGGCCCAGTGCAAAAGAAGTTTTCTCAACTATGCGAGTGGCCCTGGCAGGTTTCTGGGGTCAGAGGTAAGACACAGAAGCCAGAGTCCTTCTCCCAAGGCTGGGACAGGGGAACTCACAACTCTCACAGCCGCCACTGAGGTCTCCAAAAACATAATAACACTGCTCAGAGAAGGTGATCTTGTTCACAGTATGTCGGATCAGGCCTGCCTTGAGCAATCCGCTGGCATACTTGCGGGCTTCCCGCCGCTCGGGAAAGCCCTCCACATGATGGTAGAGCCAGTCAACCACGTCTGAGCCTAGCATCACCCAAAACAGAAAAAGGCCTTAATTACTCCCCTTCATCTTCTGCTCTCACCCCTACCCAGCTTGTTTCCAGCGCTGCCTCTTCCTCCTCCCCTTCCCAGAACCTAGTACCCAAAAAGGCATTAGGGATGGTGATCTTGAGCCACATGCGGTCCCGAACTTCCAGCCCAGACTCTGGAGCTGCCATGGCTTTGGTCACAGACGCCATGTCTGTGTGGACAGAGAGACCTCGGCCTTCACAGCCTGTCAGAGGAGACAAGGGGAAATTAGAAATAGAGCCTGCAGCAGCAAATCATCACCAAACTGGTGGAAGGCCGATCCTTGGGTTCACCTTCAGGCAGAGAGGACCCAGACGTGATGGTGCTCATGGATGAAGAGCCTGGATAGGCTGGGAAGGTACCAGTCAGCGCAGCAGAGTGAGAGACCCAGGCAGCAGGGTCAATTGGCTGGATGGGTTCATCTGGGAGAGAGAAGTTACCAATCACCCATCACTTTCCAGATGCAGAGAGCCAGCCTCGTTCCTTTCTGATCCCAAGCCTTATCCCACCTCCACCATGAACCTCCTCCACCCATTCCGTATGGCCCCACTCCACCCCCCAGTTCTCAGCTGCACTCCACCCCCCAGTTCTCAGCTGCAGACCCACCAGAGCATCACTCACTTCGGGGGAGAGTGAAATAGGCTTGGGGAGAGGGATCCCAACACTTGGCTACCGTCAGCACAATGGGGCTGTAGGGAAGAGAAGAAGGCCAGTCAAGCAGGGGTGGGGGAAGAAGAGAGTAGAAGCCTGGAATGAGAATGGGTTGAGATAGAGAAGAAGGAAAAAAAAAGCACAGGGTCCCAGAGACGGCACAGGGGTTAGGGAGCTTGCCTTGCATGAAGCCTACTCTGGACACTGCATAGCCCTCTGAGCGCTGCCAAATACATGCCTCGAGCACAGAGCTGGGAGTAGCCCCCATCCCTCACCACATGTGGGTCAAATCCCCCTCACCACCACTCCCACCCTCTAAAAAGGAGAGAAGGTCAAAGTACAGATATGGCTGGGCCAAATAAAGGTGGGCTGGGCCAAAGTAAGGGTGAGAGGCTCCACCACACGAATGACAATAAAACAGTATGTTAATATGTTAACTTTTTCTTTTGAGTCATACCTGGTGGTGCTCAGAGTTCACTCACTGAGCAAGCCCAGGGGACCATATGGGATGCCAGGGATCAAACCCAGGCAGCCACATGTTAGGCAAGGGCCCTACATGCTGTACTATCACTCTGGCCCCAACTTTTGTTTTTGGGTGGTGGGAACTTCATCCACTCAAGGTACATATGCCAGCATTTAGCTACATCCCTAGTCCTCAAAATGGTAACACTTAAAATATGTACTACTGGGAGATTCAGAGATAATGCAGCAGGTAGGAGGCTTGCCTTGCAGATAACGAACCCAAGTCCAATCCCTGATATCCCATATGGTTCCTGGGCCCTGCTGGGAGTGATCCCTAAGTACAGTCAGGAGTAAGCCCTAAGTACCACCAGGTGTGGCCTACCCCATACAACCCAACATAAATGACGTACTACTAGGGCCAAAAAAAAATAGTACAGGAGTTAAGGTACTTGCCTTGCACGTAGCTGACCCTGGCTTGATCACCAGCACCACATAAGTGCACCTGAGTAACCCCCTAGCACTGTCATATGTGGTTCAGAAATCAAACACCGAAAAAAAAAGGGGGGGAGTGAGGACTGCAGAGTTCAGTGGCGAGGGTACTTGCCTTGCACCAGGAAGACCCAGTTTCAAACCCTGGCATTCCAAACGGTTCCCTACGCCCTGCCAGGAAGTGATCCCTGAGTACAGAGGCAGGTGTAACCCCTGAGCCCCAGCGGGTGTGACACCTTCCCCCCCACCCCCCGCAAAAAAGGGGAGGGTTTGAAAGAAGTGCTACTAGGGCCAGGAAGATGGCTCTGTGGCCAGGGGCATGTGCTGCACATGGAACCCAAGTTCAAAGCCCAGCACATGACCCCCTGAGCACTGCTGGGTCCTGGAGGCCCCTGGTGGTCCCTGGCACTGCAGGACTTGAGCAGCTCTGCATCCTCGGGTTGCAGCACTAAACTGCCTGACTCAGTCGCCAAGTCTCACCAGGAGTGCCCGTTCGACCTAGCATTCAGGCTGCCTCGCAGAAGTCACATCAACCAAAACAAAACAATAGGAAAAAACAGTCCGCTGAACAATGCAGGAGTTCAACTCAGAAATATGAGTTCAATAACAGTAAAAACAAAACCATTACAAATGCTAAAATTATCACTGGGTGAAGATTTTCTTTGTTATAATAAGCAAAAATGTCACAGGATTGATGATCACCTCTAGGGGGAGTGAGAAAGCTGAGAGAGACATTTGGAGGAAGATTTATTTACACTGGGCATAATTTATTTCAGGTGAGGGTACTCATTCACTCTGAATTCAGTCATTCTGTTGCACATTTTTGTTTTTGTTTTGGGTTTTTTTTGGGGGGGGATCAGTAGGGGTCGGGGCACTCGGCTACATTTGGCATTGCTCAGGGGCTTACAGCAACCCCTTGTGGTGCTCAGGGAGCATGCACGGTGGCAGAGATTGATCCATGCTCAGTTGCATGCAAGGCAAGTCCCTTACTATCCCTCCAGCCCTGACATTTTTGTTTCACACACTTGTTAAATGATTAAGCTTCACCACTTTTTAAGACTATAAATAGAGAGAGAAAAAGGAAACACAAGAGGATGACGAAACCAAGAGCAGCAGAGGCTTACCCCGGCTTGTGCACAATGTCCCTCAGCACCCGAACTGCATCATCATTACTCATATTCTCAAAGTTCATGTCATTCACCTGAAAATGAGCCAGTGTGTGAGGAGCAGGGGCAGGCAGTGAGAAAGAGGCAGGTGGGCAGCAGAGGCCCTCCCCAGCACACCTGCAGGAGCATGTCTCCCGGCTCGATGCGGCCATCAGCTGCCACGGCCCCACCCTTCATGATGGAGCCAATGTAGATGCCACCATCGCCACGTTCGTTGCTTTGGCCCACAATGGAGATGCCCAGGAAGTTGTACTTCTCTAAAGAAGGAATCCATGTGACATGGGGGAAGTGCCGGCCACATGATTCCCACGAGCCCTAGAAACCAAGTCCTTTCCTGGGCCCCTACCCCAGGCTCCCTTCATACCCATGTTGAGGGTAACTGTGATGATGTTCAGAGACATAGTTGAGTCAGTGACGCTGCTGAAGGAGGAGGTCTGTGGTGAGAAAAGGGGAAGGAGCTAGCTGGCCTTCAACAATCAAGGCCCAGTGCAGAGAGTCTTGTTCTCATGCACCTCCTATACCAAGGCCCATGTCCCAGACTTCTGGGCCCAGTCAACCCAGGAGAACTCTCACCCTCTCCAGTCGGGGAGGCCGCTGTTTCCGTCTCCGCCGGTGGCGCTTGAGAAGGCGGGAAGCACTGCTCTGCTCAGTGGAGCTGCTGAACCTAAGAGGCGGATGAGAAGGGTAGGAGTGATCGTGGGAAAGGAAGAGAGAGAGAGAAACCAGCAGGAAGGAGGGGAGAGAGAGACAGGGAAACCATACCTGCTCATGGTGTCATCCTCATCTGAGTCCCCAAGGCTGGTGCTCTCCAGTTCACTGGTCATGAGGGTGGAGGAACTCTCATAGCCAGCCAGGTGGCGCTCCAGCCTTGAGGGGCCGCTGGGTCGGTGGCCCGCGGCTGGAAAACAACCGGAAGCTCACCATTCAGGTCTCCCATTCTTGTACACTCCTCCAGGATTGGGTCTGGCCTGCCCGCGCGGTTCCCAGCTAACCAATCTACCCCGGCTCAGGACAGGGCCCCCTCACCGCTGTGCTCAGTGCTGTCTCTCCTTCTGGGCCGCTCCCGCCTTAGAGACACTACTGACTCCGTTTCTGTCTCAGGCTCCAGATTTTCACGGCTGCTGGATACATTGGGGCTAGATGGGCAGAGGTGGTTTCCAATCCTGTCAGTGGGACAGGGCTCCAAATCCTCGGCTGCCCCTACAATGGGTTTTCAATGCCCTCCAATCCCCTCCTTAAGAATCCCCAAGACTCACTGGAATGATGGAGGCCGGGAGTCCCCAATGCCACTGGTCCTCTCTGGTGGTAAGGGGGGCAATGGAGGGGGTGGAGGCGCCAGTTCAGACCGAGACTCATGGGTTGTCAGAGCCATTTCCATTTGGGGGTTATCCGATGACACTAACTAAAAGGATGCAAGTGATTTAAAAGCCTCAGTGGGAAAGTGAGGTATATGAGATGGCAGTAAAAGAAAGGACAAAAAAAAAAAAAAAAGAGGACAAGGTATGAGAGCCTGGACAGAAGTGCAAGAAAAAAAGCAGAATTAGATGCTTCACAAGAAGGTGGAAACTGGGGGGCTTCAGTTTCTCTCCAAAAAGATAGAGAAAAGAAGAATCAGGACCTCCAACCACTGACAGGGAGCCACAGAGAAATGGCAACCCAAAACCCAAAACAAACAAAAAATAATAAGGGGTTGGGTCTCAGGGTCAGGATACCACCTTACCCAGGATACCACCCTTCCATTGAAGCAGGGAAGGCGAGCATTGTCATCTGAAATTTCTTCCTTCACCACACTGCCAAGACACAAAATAAAGATGAGACTGGACTAGCACTCCCCAACTACCACACCTGTTTGGTTTCTCCCAATCTTCATCCTGCTCAAGGTTACTGTCTTTCTCCCATTCTGTTCAAGTCCTGTTCTTGGGAAATCTTCCAACATAATTCTCCTTCCTGATTTCTCTCTTTTTAAAAAAATTTTCATCCACACCCAGTCATGTTACTACTAGCTCTGTGCTGAGGCATTAATCCTGGTGGGCTCAGGAGACCATATGGGATGGTGGGGATTGAACGGGGATTGAACCCAGGTTCGCTATGTGCAGTGCAAGTGCCCTATCCTCTGTACTCTCTCTCCAGTCCCTTATTTTTCCTTATTCTCCCAACTCATTCTCAAGGGCTCAGCACTGTTCCAAAGATTTCCAGAGTCTGAGTCAAACCACTCTGTTCAATTCCAAAGGCCATCCCCCAAGGTTACACCAGATGCCCAAATACCTAATCAAAATCTCTACTCCTAGGTTTTCTTTACATTTCTCTCAATTGCTTCCAGAGAACAAATCCTATGTGTTGTCTTTATCTAACGATGTTCAATAGATGGGCTGGAGCGATAGCACCATTTGCCTTGCACGCAGCCAACATGGCCGACCCGAGTTCGATTCCTCCGCCCCTCTCGGAGAGCCCGGCAAGCTACCGAGAGTATCTCGCCCGCACGGCAGAGCCTGGCAAGCTCCCCGTGACGTGTTCGATATGCCAAACACAGTAACAATTAAGTCTCACAATGGAGATGTTACTGGGCCCGCTCGAGCAAATCGATGAACAACGGAGGCCCATGACCGATTCAATAGATTAAAAACAGCACTTTCTCGGGGCCGGAGTGATAGCACAGTGGGTAGGGCGTTTGCCTTGCACGCGGCCGACCTGGGTTCAATCCCCGGCATCCCATATGGTCCCCCAAGCACCGCCAGGAGTAATTCCTGAGTGCAGAGCTAGGAGTAACCCCTGAGCATCGCTGGGTGTGACCCCAAAAGCAAAAAAAAAAAAAAAAGAACAGCACTTTCTTATTAGGCTGTGGCTCCTGAGGTGGGGGTCAGGAGGAGCCCAGCTTTTCCTAACTCTGTGCCTCAACTGGCACAAAACTCTGTACCAAGGGCCTGAAGAGAGAGTACAGTAGGTAAGGCACTTGCATTGCATGCAGCTGACCTGGATTGTGACCCTAGTTCCATCCTTAGCACCACTGATAGTCCCCAGAGAACCACAGAAGTCACTTCCAGTCACCTTAGAGATGCCCAAGTGCTGTTAGGTGAGGACGAAAACACAAAAACCCAACAAAACTGCACTACATGATCTATTCTGCTTGATCGAGCCCAACTTTGGGGTCATAGTGCCCTGGGTTCCTAGAAGGCCCTGCTTCTCAACCACCACATAATGTCTTTAATGACTATTCTCCTCAGCACCATGTCCTGGTCAGGCAGCAGAGTATCTGTTACTTGGTAGCGATTAGTGATTAGAGAATATTTTTTGAGGCCAGAGACAGTAGAGTAGGTAGGATGTTGGCCATGAATTCTATCTCCAGTACCTCACAGGGTCTCCAAGCCCTTCCTGGAATGTTCACTGACCAAAAAACCATGAGTAAACCCTAAGTACAGCCCAGTGTTGGTATCCTCTCCCCTCAAATATATATATATATATTTTTTCCCTTTTTTTGGGTCACATCTGGCAATGCACAGGAACTACTCCTGGCTCATGCACTCAGGAATTACTCCTGGCGGTGCTCAGGGGACCATATGGGATGCTGGGAATGGAACCTGGGTCAGCCGTGTGCAAGGCAAACGCCCTACCCGTTGTGCTATTGCTCCAGCCCCATCAAATATACATACTTTTTACTACAGGAATAAACATAACCAGCTCTCAAAGACCCACTCTTTCTTTCTGTCACACATACACACACCCCCACCTCCCCAAATTATTACATCCTATAGTCCACAGTTTAGTCCCATTTGCTATCAGTGTGACAACACAACCAGGTCACTACCAACCTGTCTTGACATTTAGGTAATACTTTTCTCAACAAAACCCATTCTCAGCTTGTCAAATTATTCTATTTTGTATCACTATAACCTGTGGACTAGAGAGCCTTGTATACTGGCATTTATACTCACCACAAATTTATTGTGAAGCAAGCACTTTTACTTAGATTATCTCCAACTCAGATAGGATAAAGGCACAAAAATTAAACTACTTAAGTGACAAGCAGACAAAATTAAAGCCAAAATAACTAAGGTAATACGCAAAATACCACTCTCCCAAACATGCAACAATTTTTCCTAGATTGTTTATTCAGTGCACCTAAAACCCAGGATAACCCAGCCCATCTACTTCAAGAGCTGAAGCCGATGACCCAAAGGCTCTGTCCCAGATATTATAAATTAAAAAAAGGTATTTTTTCATTTTTTTCATTTCATCATCCTGTTAATCGTCGATTGCCTCGAGCAGGCCCCAGTAACGTCTCTTTCATCCTAGCCCTGAGATTATATTCACGGCTCTTTAGGAGAATGAGACCCATCATTGTTACTGGTATTTGGCATATTTGGTACGCCACGGGGAGTTTGCCAGACTCTGCCCTGTGGGCAGGCTACATTCGATAGCCTGCAAGTTTGTCCAAAGTAGGAATGAGACAATAAGATGTCATTAAAAAAAAAAAGGTATTAATCAAATTGTTTACTTCCCAGTATAGCCCAGAATTTTCCCTGGGGATCATCCCAGGGACCTAATACCCCACTATCTCAAAACATGCAGCTGTCCAATATAGACTACAATACTGCTGTCCTTAGTAGTCTAAACACCAACCCTGTCTGCCATTGTATTAACACCCTAGTTGAAACTAATCAACCCACAGAACCACGTAAAAATGGAAATGGTCAATGTTTTCCATTACATCAAGTCCAAGGGAGCTGAAGAACACCCCCAATATTGAACCCTCCGCATTCATAGAATGAACGTTCCCTAGCAACCCGTCTATACTGGTAGAGGTCAGAAGGTCCCAAACGTTCCACCATAGCCAAATCAGTATCAGAAAATTTCAGAGTATCCCTAGTCTGTGTGCTACTGGACACCTCGGAATAAACTGGCAGAGGGTCAGATCAACCTTACCGCAGCTGTCCATAATATCCCCAAATAAGCCAGAGGGTCCCACTGCAATCCCAGAATAGCCTAATTCTCTCTAATCTGGTTTATTATAGCCTAATCTGTCCTACAACATCATCTGCCCCAATCCGTCCAAACATAGCCTTTCCCGTCCTTGGATAGCGAACCTACACCAGCACGGTGCTATCTGCCTCGTTAGAGTCAGTATATCCCAAGAGTCCCTTCAATATTATTCAATCCATTCCAGCACAGCCCCGTCTGGCTGCAGTCTAGGCCTAGCGCGCTCACCCGAAATCCTGATCCATAGACTTGAAAAAGTACTTAGCGCCCGCGGGTCGCTGCAGAACGCTCTTGAAATCACCAAGGGTGATGCGCTCGGCGGGGACTGGGATCTTCACCAGGTAAGGAGTCTCTTCTTCATCCAGATGGTAAATCACCTTCGTCTCCCCACCACCGCCCCCCGCGCCGCTGCCCGCCATGGTCTCGCCCGCGCGCTCCCGGGCTCCACCGCCCACCCAACCCGGCTAATGTCCCCACCGCGCCTGCGCACACCCACAAACCGACGCGAGCGCGCCTGCAGGATCGACCCAACGTAAGAACATGCAGAGGGCAGGTAAGAAGGTGGTGGCCAGTGGCGTGGCAGTGCAGGAAGCGACCGGCGGAGCACGACCCAAGCCCCTGGCTAAGGCTGCCGCCGCCGCCGCCGCCAGACTCCCTCCAGTGCCCCGCCTACCCTCAGACCACGTGACCCGAGCCAGCCCCCTTGGCACGCCACGCCCCACCACGTGAGCCTTCCCGGTCACGTGACCACGTCGACCCGCCCAGTCTCCGACACGTGACCACCTCCAGCAACGGCCACTCAGTCCCCAGCGATCCCGCCCACCAATGTCTCCGCCTACGATCTCTTGTACTTCGGCAAAGCCAGCCACTGCCTTTAGGGGGCAGGACACTGCTGACCACCCCCCTTTACCTCCGGCTCCAAGCAATTTTGGGCGGGGGCTGCGGGTGGATGTTGTGAATTGAGGTGGGCTGTAAAGCCGACTGAGGCCACAAAGTGGATGAGTTAAGGGGGGCCCGGTGATTATCAGCTCCGAAGAAGAAGTGGGCTTAACCCTGCAGCTGGCCAGCGTTCTTACCATCTTTTCCAAAGCCTCCCTTCCCCAACCAGAACAGTCAGGGCTATAAACACAAAGAGCCCACTCTTTTATTTACAACACGCAGGCTGTCTGTACAAAGACCTGGCCAGTATTATTTTAAAAACAAAGGGTGAGGGAATCATCACCTTTCTGTTTCCTTTCCTCCCTCAGATGGGCTCTGGCTGGTAATGCTACCTCTGAGCTGCCATACCCAAGAGGGGAAATCCAAAATTAAAAATACAACCGGTGTAGAATAAACGGGTAGTGAGATAGAAGATGAAGGAGGGGAATGCTATATTTACACTAGTTTTATAGACAACTGTTTCATTCCATCCCAGTTCCAACCTTGGCCCAGAGAGTGAGGGGTGGCAAATATGAGGGACAGATATTAAGTGTCTAGGGACCCAAACAGCCTTCCACCTCCAACTGTAATGGATCCAAGTTCGAGTCCACAAGGTGGGGAGGGAGGGTAGAAAAGGAACATGAAATACTCATTTCCAAACAAGTCTTCCTTGGGAATTCCTGCCTTGAAATGGAACAAATCCAAGCTCCAGGGGATAAGACTGAGGACCCTGAGGAACATTTCCCAAGTTATGTTGTCATCTGGACGTTGCAGCCTAGAGATGGCAATGTCAGGGTTCTCCTGATTTGGGAAGCCCTCCTAACCGCCGGGCCTCTGGCCGCAGTTCCTTGCATTTCTGGCAGTAAAAGAAGTCAGGGACATTGGTCTTCTTAATCTTAGCACAGGAGAGGTGGATCCACGTTCCACAAAGGCTGCACTCAATCATTGGCCTCCCTGCAAAGGGCTTTCGGCAGTAACACGTGATGAGATCCCATGAGTCATCACCTGGGGAAGAGAAGGTTTGTTTGGTGTTCCTCCTGAGCTCTTGGGATTCCCAACACCCCCAAGCCCATCATCCCAGCTGCCCCTGGCCAGCCCCCAACTTCTCACCTGATTCTACCATGATGTCCTCATCCATTACCCGCATCTCTCCTTCACTGGAGCTGGCATCTCCATCTTGGCTTGTTTCAGTGCTGCCTACCTCCTTGTTTTCACCGTCAGTGGGGGGGACTCCTTCAGGGTGGACGGTGGCAGCGGTTCTAGGAGCCTCAGGTGGTATAGGCAGCACAGGAACTGGGGCTTCACTGCCTACAACTGCTGCCATTTCTTCCTCCTCCTCCTCCTCCTCTTCCTCCTCCTCCTCCTCCTCTTCAGAGTCTGTATCACTGGGAGGCGCCCGTGGAGGCCCAGGAGGTGGGAGTCTATCTCCCCGATCTGCCTTTTTCAACTTCCGCTTCTTGCTCTTCTTGATTCGAGACCTCTTTTCCCCATCCCCAGGGGCTGGTCGAGGCCTCCGAAGAACCCCAAAGCCAGTTCCCCCTCCTGGCCCCAACTTTCGGTTCTTTCTGTCCTTCTTTCGAGGAGGCTGGGAGAGGTCTCCCTGGGAAAGGGGCACTGGGGTAAGAGAAGCAGGGGGACGGGACGCATGTGTCAGAGATGAGGGGGATAGTGGAGATGTCATTTTAGGTCCATCTAGATCAAAGAGAGAGTCCTTGAGCTTCATCTTCTCAAGTAGGGTGGCACTGTCAGGTGTCTGCAGACGTGAGAAAGTGGACCTTGGGGGTCCTGGCTGGGTAGGACCAGTCTGAGCCGCCCTTCTCTTAGATGACTTTGCTTTCTTAACAAAGGTCTGGATGGTTCGGAGATCTGAGGGGGCTGAATCCCAGCCATCACTGTCTGCAGCACTCTCACCGCGCAATGGAGAGCTGGAGCCAGAGGCTGGCCAGTCACTTTCCTTAAAAGGAGGAGAAATCAAGGTCAGGAGAAGGTCCAGTGTTCCTCCACTACCCAGTTTAAAAACCCAGGATCAGACCTACTTCAAAACATCCTGCCCAACAGCCTTCACCCAATGCCCATCTGCTAGATGCTACTTTCCTGTGTTCAAACTAGGTCCTGCTGCTCTTTGCCTCCTAAGAGCCATAGCAACAATGTATCCCCCAGGCTACAATAGCATTTACACAGAACTCATTTGTTACCATTTTCAGTTTAGCGAAATAGATCCAAAAGCAACCTAATAGTACCATCCTCTATTGCTCAAGCCACCCCACCCCACCCCCACACTCATTCCCCCACCCCCCCTCTGAATCCTCAGGTTTCCTATTAGTCAGAGGTATGCTTTTCAATTTTTTAACTTTTGGAGGGGAGGGTTGGGGGGGGGGCGTAAGCCCAGCTATATTCAGGGCTTACTCCTGGTAGGACTCATGAGACCTTATGTGCCTCCAGGGATCCAATCCAGTCAGCAGCATGCTAGGCAGAGCCCTGCCCGCTGAACTCCCTGGCCCCACAAATGTTTTTTGCTGTTGTTTGGTTTTTGGTTCACTCCCAGTGGTGCACTGGGAATCACCCCCAAGCTTGGCCACATATAAGTGCTGTACTATCTCTCCAGTCGTTCCCCCCACCCTTGCCTCCACATGTGGTATTTCTGCTAGGTTTCTTCTATAGAGTCACAGGAACTTGCTCAACAGTCCATTTATAGTCCTAGACCACTGCCCTATTGTCCCCACCTCTTTGCTAGGGGGGATATAACCAGCATACGCCAAGACAAAACTGCAGAATTTGTTGAAATCCTCAATTGTTCTTCTACGTTTCTCTGGTGGCTGAAAGAAAGGAAACATGTATCACTAGGAGTTTAAGAGGGGCATTCCCAAAGGCACAGTCTCTGGGGTAAGGGATCTGGGAAAGGCAGGAGGGGAAGGGAGGGGCAAAGTATTCCGCAGTCACTAGTAGGCTGCAGAAGTAAGGTAAACCTCACCTGAGTCTCTGGCTTAAGGGTCGGAGGTGGATCTGTGAAAGCAATAAAAGCCAGTCAAGGCACTGGGAGGTCGTAAAAGCCCACCACGAACCCTCGAAACCTCGAGGTTCCAAGTTAATCAATTTCCCTCTTACAGGTCCCTCACGCAGCCAGCAGGCCCCCAGCTGTGCCGGACCCGCCCCAGCTCCCCCTTCCGCTCGGGGAGGGGGCGGAGCCTGGGCAAGGCGCCCTCTCAGGCCTCGCTATAGCGCTCCCCTTCCCCCACGGCGCCGGCGCCCCGCCCCCCGCCCCCCGCCCCCACGGCGTCTCCGACTCCCGGCTACTCGCATCTCGGCGCCCCACCCGCCAAACCGCTCCCCCGGCCGAGCCCAGGCTGCCGCCGGCCCCCAGTCCTTCACACACGCCCAGCACCCCGAGGTCTCCCGGTCGCGCTCTACCGCGCCAGGCCCCGCCTGAGACCGCACACGCCGCCGCGGGCCCCCAGGCTTCGAGGTGACCACGCCGAGGCGCTCCCCGCCCTCCGGCCCCCTCTGCGCGACCACGAGGCCCGGCGCGCCCCTCACCCACACCCTCAAAACACACAGGCACGCACGCCCAGCGCCACTCCGCGTTCGGGACAGACCCGAGCGCTCCAACCCGGACGCGGCCCCACCTGCCCCCCCACCGCGCTCCCCACAATCTCGCCGTCCCTCCGCCCCCATCCGGGGCTTTGGCCCCTCCCCGTCTCGAGCGCCTCGGTCTCCCCGCCGGGCCCCCGGGCCCAGTTCGAGCTCTTCGGCCGCCGCTCCCCCTCCGCCCCCGTACGCGGCACCAAGTCGCTGGGCGCCGGACCCTACACGCCACCCCCACCACTCCTCTCCCTCCACGCGACCTCCGCCGCCGCTGCCCCCTCGCCTTCCGCCACTCCGGGCTCTCCCTCGCCGTCTCCTCCCCCAGCCCCCAACAACCCGCCGGTCTTCAACACCCCCCGCCCGGCACCCCGCCCCGCCGCCCTCACAACTCGCCGCTCCCTGGCTGCCCCGCTCTCTCCCGCAAGCCCCTCGATACGGTCCCTCGGCAGACAATGCCCAAGCCCCCTCCTCGCCCGCAACTCTCGGCCCACCCCCCGACAATCCCCGGGCAGCTCCGGCAGCAACTACCGGGAGCGCCGGCACCGCCGCCACGAACTCCCCCGCCTCAGCCAACTCGAGCTCCTCACTCCGCGCTCCTCCACGTTCCCTCCTCAACTCTCCAGCCCCCGAGCCCCCGAGCCCAGCTCCAGGGCCTCGACATGCCTCGGGCCCTTTCCAGCCGCTGGCCCGAAGCTCCGGCTTCCCGGCTCCCACTCCCCACCCCCCAGTGTCCAGTCCCCAACTACCTCCAGCCGAGACTCCCACTCCCCTTTATCCAAGGTTCCCGAACTCCCCGTTCTTCCACCTCCAGGGCCAGGCAGGGCCCCGACCCGCTCCCCGCGTTCTCCCGCTGGACGCCGGGGCTCGACCTCCAAGTTTGCCAATTGATCCCTCGACCGCCCCCGCGCCGGCTCTGCGCCCGGTGCCGGCCGACAGCTCACCTTCGGGACTGGGCTCCGCCATGGCTTCCAGCATCGCCCCCTCCCCTCCTCCCGGTCCGGCGCCCCCCTTCCCTGAGCCGGGGATCCCGGTGCCGCCTCCGGTGCTCGATGCTCCTACTACCTCGCTCCACAGAGATCCTGCCTCGGCCAGGTGGTGACTCCAGTCCGCTAGTCGCTGCCACCACCTCCCTCTACCACAGCCTCCCGCACTCCCGGACCAGGCCCCCTCCCCCCGCGCCGCCGGCCGCCTGCTCCCTCCTCCTCCTCCTCCCTCCTTTCTTCCCCTCCCTCCGCGAGAGCCGACGCGCAATGCATCGAGGGGACTGTAGTCCTTCCGGGGGCAGCGGGAAGGGGACAGCACTGGGCGACGGAACTTCAGTTCCCAGCAAGCCGAGGGCTGGCGCAGGCGCACTAAGCCGTTCCCGCCTCCGGGGAGTGGCGGGGAGACTGGGAGGGAGAAGGGAGAGCGGAAAGGGGCGCGCGGGCTCCTGGGAAATGTAGGCTGGGCGGGACCAAAGACCGGGAAAGGCGGGGTCAGAACTCTCGGCCACCATACTGCCTCGTTCGGCAGATGCGCGCGCGCGTTCTCTTTCGGGCTCGCCTTCTCGGCCGCCTGCATTTCCGGCCGGACGGAGAAATGGTGGTTGGGAGCTGGAGTTCTCCTAGTGATAATGGCTCCCTTCTACAGGTCTTCTCCCACCCCTGAATTCCACAGCGCAGAATCCCACACTCCTACTCGGCAAAGAGACAGGCAACGAAACACCAGTTCCTTAAAGCGGTTCCCACACCAGAAAATTTCTTCTTTAATCCAATAGGTTATAATCAGTATGGGTGTGTTTTTCTAAGAAAGCAGGTATTTTCAAACTTTTCTACAGAAACCCATGATAAAAAAAAGGTAAGGTTTTACGTTAGGACTCAATGCACTCGTATATTAAACAATGAGTTTCATGAAAAGATACTCAGAGCAGTCTATTCACACACAGAAAGTCCCCAATCAGAATAAATGAAAATATATACTATTCTTCCAGCCACCTCTTTCCCCACCACAGAAGACTAAAAAACGGGAGAGGGAAGCAACACAAAGCAAAATTCAACTCAGATTGGTGGTTTCCACTTTATTGTTGTGCCTCCTACTTTCCCCCCACAATTTCAGTCCCTTCCATCTACCCCCAAAAGAGAAGGTAGTGAAAGGAAGGGATTGTTTGGAGTTCTGAGCCTCTTGGGCAGTCAGGGAACCGAAACCAAAACAACCACTGAATGTAACAGAGATTGACAATCAAGAAGTCTAAAGCATAGTGGGAAAACGGTAGAGAAAGGGGAAGAAAGGAGAAAGGTTCTAGAGGCTGTCTCCCCCATTAATCCTCCAGCGAAAAGGGGCTGAAGAGAACCTCAAACATTAGGAAGTGCAGGTCCTGAAGAAGGAAGGCGGTGGTTGAGCCTGGAGAAGGAGGTCAAGGAAGGGGGGCCGCCTCTTTAGAACGGGACCCTCCCCACCCCACCTCAGGGGCAGCAGCTTCACAGACCATAGACACTTTCATCACTGTAGGCAATGTATAGAAAGAAGTCTTCTTCATGGTGTTCCTGGGGTGAAAACAGAAAACGACGGTACTCAGGCACGTGGACTTTGAACATTCTCAACTACCCACTCCCAGACCCATTCTTCAAATATTCTTTTTGAAGACCCCAAAACCACTGCCTTTCTCCTCCACTTCCTCCAGGGCTCGACTTAGTATTATCCCGGTAAGTAAATCTCAAATTGCTCTTTCTGCCTTTGAATGCAAAAAGAAAAGAGGAGGAGCATACATATTGATGAAAACCAACCCTTTTCTCTCCTCTCTTGTTCAAACCCCTTGCCAGGGACTATCCTGTTTTGTTCTGTTTTGGTTTTTGTTTTATGGTGACGAAATCAAAGACAACTGGTAGTGCTTAGGAATTGAACCTAGGGCTCCTGATTACAAAGTATTCATTTCAGCCAGCTGAGCGATCTTCCTCGCCCTTATCCTGAAATTTTACGGTCAAAGATAAAATTAAGAGCTAACCAAGTCAACGCACTCCAAGAACTGCTGATCTAGAACTTTCTAATCCTCAACTCCCCTCTATAGCCTCTACTATACTCCCCAGTTATCATACCTGGTATAGCTGACCCATGGTGGCACTGGTGGGTGGAATGACATTGTTGACAAAGAAAAACAAGGCATCCTCAGCTCGGAGATGAATTCGCTTCCGGATCAAGAAGTAAAACTGACCAACTGCCAGAGTTACGAGATGCAATTAAGTCACATAGGTCACAAATGTCTTGAAAGAACAGCTGCTACATAGAGCCTCCTCCCACAGATCGCACTCCCGCCCCCAGGAGGTAAACCTGGTCAAATTCCCACCTGTGAGATCAGAAGGCACCAGGTATTTCTTTTTGTCCAGATCTCCTATCCGAGCTTTGGGGGCCTTTTCTACTATCACCTAATAAAGGGGAAATAAAAATTTTAGAGATAACAGATGCCTCATGGCCTCACTGATCAAGAACTTAATCAACAGCATTCCTGGCACCCCGGATTCATTTCTCTTTGTCTTTACACACGCGGTGCAGCCCTGAATACAGACTGTGACCCCACCCCCACCCCCGCAAGTCTCCCTAACGCCAGTATCCCAGAATCGGGCGTCGGAACACAGCTCTCTCTTAACAGACGAGAATGATCGTGTCCGTCTGATAAAGCCTCGATTTCAAAAAACTTAAGTAGCTGGGGGCGAGGGGTGACCATGGGAAGCGCAGTCCACAAAAACTCCTTACAGTCTTGCCACAAACCCCAAGGTCTCACACCCATCCACATCCCTCGCTCTACCTCTGCCCCACTCCTCCTACCTCCGTCTCAGGGACAGTTGTTTCAGACTAATCCTCAACCCCCCCAGAGCTGGCAGCCTGACACCCGCGATACTAGTCCCAGACCCAAGTCAGTATGTGGCGTCAGGGCCAGAGCCCCGCGCCGTGGGCCCAGTAGCTACTGTCCTCACCGGGACCCGGTCCGGATATTTCTTTCGGATCTTCTCGCCCTCAGAGCGGCGCTTCTCGAACGGATGCTCCTCTTTATACACGAACTTCATCCTCCCGGGAACCGGGCTGGACCGGGCTGGGCTGAGGGAACCCGGGGGGGCCGGGACGGGGGGCGGCGGCGACTGCGGCGACGCGCGGGCGGATTCAGCGGAGCGATCCCGGGACTTGCGCCACTTCCCTATTCATCAACCCTGCCACCGACCAACAGAAGCCTCCCTACCTACTGTATTACGCCACTAGCGTAGCCGCCTTGGCGCCGCCAGCGTAGCACTACCTACTGACCGCCCCTCCCCACCCCACCCCCACTCGCGCCATGAGCGTAATCTCTTTGGAAGCAATTTGTGAACTAAACTAGCGACGTAGCCAAGGTGACTGGCTTTTGCTAGTGTGGTAAAGCGCCAAAGTCCCATGTTCCGATCTTCCCCTACACGAAGCTGGAGGTAGGAGACGGTAATCATACTTTGAGACTTGGCTCTCCCAAATCGCCTTTGGGAAAAACGTAGAACTGCAGACATTACAGGAATAGATTCACGAAATGCACGGGTACGCTGGCGGCGGCCGTTGACACGGAAACAAAATAGCACCCACATGGAGTCCATCTCCAGAAATAAAGGGCGAGTTAAACACGTTCGGAGAGAAACAGAAAACACTCAGGTTCCACGCATGAGTGGGCCAATAGGGACTAGAGAGGAGGTCCGAAAGGGCAGGGACTACGTCAGCGCGGAAGATTACTTTCGGCCTGTGCAAGGGGCTGTCATGTGATCTCAGAGCCGGGCGGAGCGTCACGTGGTGGGTGCGAGGAAGTAGAGCCGGCTGCAGGGAGGCGGGCGCTTGGGGGTGGAGCCGGGCGGGCAGTGGCCCAACTCCGGAGCGCGCGCCAGCCGCCAGGGAAACACCGGGCTGTCCCGAGTCAGTCGCCCGGGCACAGCCCGCCCTTTCTCCAGCTGCATGTCATTTCCGGCGCCCAGGTTTTTCCTTCATTCAGACTTAAGGCTGCAGGGTGCTTACGCTGCCCTGGGGAGTCCATCCTTATCACCAAGGCCCTGCACCAAAGGATCTGCTGATGCTCACTGCTCCGCCCCGCCAAGGGAACGGCGCTTTCCCACCGCGCCCTCTCGCCTGACCACCTCCTAAAGGCCATCTTTCTGGCGGTGTCTACGGGACCGGGTAGATGTGAACGAAGACCCCTCCCTTCATTTCCCAACCCCCCCAGAGAAGGACCTAGGGCAGCTTTGGTTTCAAAGTTATTAATGCATGGTTTAAAAGAGGAAAGGGGGAAAAAAAGAGCGAGAAAGCTGGTTACAGGTCTGAGGGGATATAGAAAGAAGGTGGGGGAGTAAGAGGACAAGTTGGGGGAAAATCCAGTGGCCCAAAATCCCAGTTTCCCACCCTCGGCCCAGCCCTTGGAGTGAAGAATTAGATCAGTTTTGTACAAGAGTTTTTAAAAAATCAAATCACAACAAAGCTGGCTTGGCTTCTGTTTTGAGCCTCCTGGATTAGCGAATTCTCACTCTAGCCAGTCCTGTCTCTTCACCATAGACAGTTTCGGCTCTCCTAGGCCTCCGCTTATGTCCCAGTCTGGGCTTTCCAGTGAGTGCGAACATGAAGTTAGAATGAGGCTGCTTCAGAGTCTGGCCCATGTGTCCATCCAGACTCCAAGTGGAGTGCAGGGCTCCCAGGGCAGAGAGGGGCAGGAGGGGCAGACCCTGCCCAGGCAGTCCTCATCACTGGACAGGGCATCAGATGGGTGGGAGGGGCAGACCCTGCCCAGGCAGTCCTCATCACTGGACAGGGCATCAGACGGCTCACCCTCCTTTTCCCCCCCACCCCAACTCAGGTGGAGGGGGAGCAGCTGTCACCAGAGCCTATGTTGGTGAAGGTTTCGGCTCAGCACAGAACGAACATCAGCGGTGAACCTGGGATGACAATAACTTGCATTGGTAGAGTCCTTATAGTTGATATCCTCACAATATTAGTGTTAGGCAGCCTCATTGGAGATGTGGGGCAGCAATGAGCACCATTTTCACATGAGGAGACTGCAGTTCGGCTTGCCCAAACCCAAAGGCTACATAAAAGCGATGAGCTTAGTACAAGAAGACCTGGGTTCAAATGCTAAGTTCTTAAGGGAAAAAAGATAAGTAAGTAAAACAGGACAAATTTTTATTCCCTGTTGGGATCTCCCACCACCTCCTTTCCTCAAAAATCTAACTGTCTAGCTTCCCTTACCTGAGGGCATCCAGCATTGGAAGCAGGTTGAGAAGGGCGGTGTCACTGGGGTCACTGAACCAGGATTTGATGGGGATGGCATTGTCTAGGATAGGTGAAAATGCATGTGAGAAGAAAGGATTCAAGAGCCCCAGAATGTTTTTCTTTTATTAGGGTGTGAAAATTATTACTTTTAAAATATATACCTCTGAACCACTCCACCCAAAAAACAACCTATGTAAAACCTCACAGATTTATATTGAAAATATTTTTCTTGTCTTTTTTTTGGGGTCACACTCAATGGTGTTTAGGGGTTAAGTCTGGCTTTGTGCCTTAGAGTTGCTTCTGGAAGGTTTCAGGAAACCATGCAGTGGTAAGACCTTGAACTAGGGTCTCCAGCATGAAAGTATACACTAACCCATTTTATCTCTCCAGCCCTAAATTTTAATCATCACATAGCATGCTAGTGTGAGGATTCTCATAAATTTCACTGCTATTGTGTCTCACCTGAAATGAATTTGAGAAATAAGATTTATGAAACAGACATATGAAGAGTAGACATCTCACTTAAGAGAAACAATGCATCTGAACCTACAATAAATCAGAGAATCCTAGTTCCACACATTCAAAATACTGCCTCAAAACTACTTAATGGGGCTGGAATGATAGCACAGCGGGTAGGGGTTTGCCTTGCACGCGGCCTGACCCTGGTTCGATTCCCAGCATCCCATATGGTCCCCTGAGCACCGCCAGGAGTAATTCCCGAGTGCATGAACCAGGAGTAACCCCTGTGCATCACTGGGTGTGACCCAAAAAGCAAAAAACAAAACAAAACCTACTTAATGGTCCTGCCAGTCTCACCACCTTCTCTCATACCTGGATGGCTTCTGTAAGCCCCTGGGGAGTTATCCAGAATCACAATGCTGGAGAGGTCACTGTGGACTACAGAGAGGTCCTTGATGTAGCTGCCCAATTCCAAAGTGCAGTGCTGGAAGGCAGGGTGAGCTGGTCATCAAAAGGAGACTCGCCCTCGGTGACTGCTCCCCCAGTCCCAACAACACTCGAGGGCAGCCAACTTTCACAAAGGGAATTATGAAGTGTGACTCCCCATAATCCCAAGTTCCACTGCAGGGAAACTGGAACACATGCTTCAAATTCAGGTCCTTTTTTGGCCACCTGTCTCCCAAATCTCTTTCTTAGCACTGGATTCTAGTCCCTTACCTGTCTGTAGTATCTCCTCTTAAGAATGCTTCTGCTATTGTCCAGTTTATCTGCTACAGCAGAGCCATAGATCTCCATGCTTGCTGTAAACACCACCAGCTCATACCACTGGCTCACCTACATACATTGGGAAAGAGAGTGTCAGAAAGAGTGATATTCATTGAGACATACAGTTCCTATTCATTACCTCTGGGGCCGGGCATTTGCCTTGCATGTGGCTGACCCAGGTTCAATCCCTGGCATCCCACATGGTGTCCTGAACCCACAAGGAGTGATTTCCTAGGACACAAAACTCTGAACACCCACAAATTCAATTTTATCCTTATGATTCAGATGCAAAAAATAAGAAGTCTGTGGAAAAATAGAATTACAGGGGCCAGAGAGATAGTACAGTAGACAGGGCTCTTGCCTTGCACAAAGCCCACCCAGGTTCAACTCCCACTGCATATGATCTCCTGAGCACCACCAGGTGCAGCCAAAAAAAAAAAAGTACTTAAAGCAATAGTATAGCAGGTAAGGCACTTGCCTTGCATGTAGCCAACCCAGGTTTGAGCCCTAGTACCCTATACAGTTTCTTGAGCACTACTAGGAGAGATCCCTAAGTGGTGCAAAGCCAGGAGTAAGCCCTGAGCACAACCGGTGTACCCCCCCCCCCAAATAAAAGTTACAACAGCACAATAACTGCTGAAAGCTAAATTCTGAACATGCTACCACTGCCCCACTCCCAAACTGCCCATCTCCATTTCTCCCCATCCTCCACCTCCTCTAATCCTCTAAATCCCCAGAACCACAGAAATATTCCTTCATCACAGAGCTCCTGATCCCTTTTACAAACTCACCACTTCTAAGAAGAAATCCACATGAGGCCTCTTATGTACAAAAAACCGGACGGGATGTTTATCTATTACCACCTGCAGAGGAACAGAAAAGGACTGGGAAATGTCCTAACCACAACATGACCTGAAGCACACCTCCCACCCTTCTGCTGACCACTTCTGTTCTTCAGGCAAATGCTGGTAAAAGGGGGTGGGGATGAAGACAAGACACTCAGATTAGAAAAGGGAGTCCAGGCCTGAGGAGAACAATAGATACAACTATACCATCAGTTCCCATCCACAAACCTTGAGGATGAAGTCAGGAGGTGTTCCCGGTCGAACTGTGGGCCTCAGGACCCCATCGTGATGTGAGTGAATAAGCGTCTCATCCAGATCCAGCACCAGGATCTTCCTCTTCACCTGTCCTGAACCACAACAGGAAGCATAACACCAGTCAACCTCCAGCCCAGGCCTAGAATCCTTTCTCACTTCAGGAGTCTGCCCAGTGAGCTACTCACCGAGCCGATTCCGGGACACGGGAGATAAAGGAAGGATATCATATCGAACAGTTTGATACTGAATTACCTAAGAAGAGCAAGAGAGAGAATCAGAACTCTTAAAAACATCCCTCAGGAACAATAATGAGTAGCAAACACTAAACATTTCTCATACGCTAGTTACCATATGGGTTAGAATTATTTAATTTAGGGTACGGAGCTATAGTACAGCAGGTAGGGTGTTTGCCTTGCATGCAGCAGGCCCCAGTTTGATCCTCAACATCCCATATGGTCCCCTGAGCACCACCAGGAGTAATTCCTGAGTACAGAGTCAAGAGTAACCCCCGAGCACTGCCAAGGGTGACCCAAAAGGAAAAAAATTTTTTTTCATTTACCCCTCAAAAACACAATATGGCCAGAGCAATAATTTAGCAGATAGGGCACTTGATTTACAAGCTGCCAAGCTGCCAACCTGTGCTTCCCGAGTCCCACCAGGAGTGATCCCTGAGCAATCTCTAAACACAGAGACAGGAATAAGCCCTGAAAAACGCAGGGTATAGCCCCAAAACAAAAAAAAAATGTCATTCTTTTTTTTATTGTGTTTGGTTTTGGGAACACATCAGTGGTGCTAAGGATCAAACCAGGGTCAGTTACCTGCAAAGCAAGCGCCTTAACTACTCTGTTGTATCTTTGGCCCCATAATCTGTTTTAAGGATGAGAAAATTCAAGTTTGGAGAGATTCAATATCTTACCTAATGCCACAGACCTAAGAACTGTAGCTGGTTGTGTTTTGTCCCTATTAGAACAAAACCCCATGACACCATAGCTATTTTAATTAAAACAAAAAAAATTTATTTTTGGTTTGGGGGCCCAACCTGACAGTGCTTAGGGTTTACTTTTGGCTCTGCACTCAGGGAACATTTCTGGTGGGCCTCGGGGGACCAGGGATGCCAGGAATCAAACCTGGGTTGGCTATATATAAGGCAAGGCCCCCACAGGTTATACCATTACTCCATCCCCTACACCATGGATTTCTGTCTCTGTTATATTTCCGGAATACCATAGTTGAATTGCTCCAATAATATTAGAATTGATGAGGGAATGGAACTAGGATAGTAACTATGGTAAGCTGACCTAAGAACCTACCCTCTTATCCAGGAAATGTGGCTTTACTGGACAAAGAAATAGCTAAGCTCCTCAATACCAGGGATTCTTTGTGGTAATTCCCATCACCTTCCCTGGGAAACAGAAAGTCTGAAATTCTTTAGTATACAGGAACAAGAGTCAAGTTGGGAGATCCTTGGGTTCTCTAAAGGGTAGCAGAGGGTGAGGAAATCCGAGGGTTGTCAGGTCAGCTAAGTTCCTCTGGCTAGGGGCCACCAAGCCTATTTTAACCAGCCACCTGTCCATTTCTATCTCTACTGGCCAAGTCACAAGTTACAGCAACCTCAGTCCTCTAAACAGCCTCCTTATCTTGGTACCCAGAAAAAAGCAAGGACACTGTAAGCCTCACAAGCCAAACCAACTGATAGAGTATCAAGAAGACCAGAGCAAAAGGCTCTGTAGAAGATGTCACCACCTCAGCCTTCAAGATTCTCCAGGTTTTCTAGTATTAGAGGTTTATTCTAATACAAGAATTTCCCCCCATGCAAAACCTGGCCACTCCCTCCCTCTGTTCTCTTCACAAGCCTGACATTCACCAGAAGCTGACCACCCTCTGGAAAAAACGCATGGGCCCTCTCTCCTGATGCCAAGACATCTGCCCTTCTTTTCTTCCCTGACCGTGATGAGGACTGCAGTAGCTCGGGTGTCCTGCTTGCTATCTCGGGTTGCACATGCTGGCATGTAGGGAATGCTCAAAGCATTTGCCAGTAAGGGGGGGGTGGGAGGAGAAACCAAATTGGAAGGGAAGACAAAAGGCTGTGGGGTCAGTACTGCCTGAAGGAGAACAATTTTTCAAGTAACTAGTCTCCAAATATACTATAGTACTCCCTGTACACAGAACAGAAATCTGACATGTTGGCAGTGAAGGGGTGAATGCTTACAACAAAGCTAGGGAGAAAGACTACAAAGAAAAGCACAGGAAGCAGCCCCACACACCTCATCACTTATGACCTCAAATTCCGGGCTTTTGCTTTTTTTTTTTCTTTTTTGCAGTGCCAGGGATCGAACTTAACGCCTCACACAAACAAGGCAAGTTTGATTTCTAACTTGTCTCAAGTAAACAGCCCTGCCTACAGCTATGATCACCCAGAATACTCACCATACATCAGGAAGTAGAAGTATACTGGTAAAGGAGCAGACACATACAAAGCCAAGCCCATTCTCTCAAATAAGTCAACCACACAGTTACCACCCAGGACTTTCTTCAGATTTCTTTCTAGGTCAGAGTCCTCACTGAAGTATGCCAAAGTGTGCAGAGGGAAGAACTCATACACCCCAGTTCACTGAATTTTCCAAGTGGTGATGAGAACACAAGAGCACATTGATAGAAAGATGTAAGACTAAGGAGCCTTGACCTTGGAGAAAAACACAGGGGCAGAAACCCAGAGATACTTGTACATCCAGAGTCTCCCGTTCCCACCGAATCTCTCACAATGCTAGACTCTGTTTCCTCAGACTCAAATCCTGTCAGTGATAAGCACGGTCTTCTGATAGGGACACCCAAAGTTTAATGTACTTCCATAACTAAAAAAGGCAATCATGAACATATCCCGAGGGCTCAATAAATCCAGATATACAGTCCCGCTATGAAAAGAAGTTTTCTGAGCCACTGTGGAGGAGTTCACACTAAGTGTGGAAAGAAGAAGGGTTTCTCCTTGGTGGCTCCAGGCTTTTCCGTGTTTGTCCTGTAAGGCCATCCTCACCCTTGATACACCCTTGACACATAAGCCTTTCTGCCCTTGTAAGACCAAGTACACACGGAGGTTCTTAATAACAGGAGGGTCTCTCTCCCGTCCACACCAGCAGATCCACTACCATCAAACAGGTGTTCCTCGACTCTAGCTTTCTCTAACAACTACAGCTTTCTTCAGGGGTGCTCCTCCCACTACCTTAGCCCCCAAGAGTTGCCAGATCCAGTTCCCGTCTAGCCGCCCTCCTCCCCAACAATCTTGGTTCCACTACGGGGTCTGCTTCCTCTCCACCCCACCCATGCCCAACTGAGGATGCCCTAACTCGAGCTAGGGGGAGAAGCCGCCACCAAAACTCAGTCCCTAGGCCCAAACAGAGCCCCAACACTTTGCCAAAACCCATGAGCACCACTGACAGAGGCAGCCACCACCACCACCAGCACCCACCCAAGGCTCACCGTGCGGATCTGCCTCCGCAAAAGGTATATGAAGAAGCTCCAGAGCTTGGCGGCGAAGGCCACGAACGTTCGCAGCCCCAGCAGACACTGTGTCCGCATCATCCCGATGACCCCGGCACCGCCGGCCCCGGGGCCCCCGCGGCCCAGCTCCGCCAGCCCACCGGGGGCAGCCCCCCGCCGACGGGAGGGGGGACGGGGGCCCCGAGTGGCCGGAGGAGGGTGCAGAGAGGGGCACGAGCGGGCGGCTCAGAGAGCCACCCCCAGCGAGGGGAAAGCCCAGCGTAACGGAGAGCGGGGGGACAGGCGTGGGCTGCCCGCGGGGGCCCACATGGGCGGGGAGGGGCACCGACGGCTTCGCGGAGGTTTCGGGCCGAGACAGGTCGGGCTAAGACGGGGCCCTCGGAGACCAGGAGAGAAGGGGATGGAGAACTGGGGGAGGGGGCATGAGGGGAGGGGGCTGGGGAGAAGGGAGGGAGAAAGAAGGGGGAGGGGAAGGGGTAAGCAGAGAGTGGCCCGCTGCGCAGGCGCGCCGAGGGGCTACCCGCGGGAAAGGGGCGGGCGGGGGCAGCAGCGAGCTGACAGCGAAGAAAGGGCCGGCTGAGAGCAGGGGGGAGGGGGAGCCGAAGGGCGCGGATGCCGGGACCGGAGCGGCCTCCCCCTCCCCGAGACCGGGGGTGCCTTAGCCTCGGGGGAGCGGGGCTGCAGCCTCTGCAGCTGGGGTTCCCATTCTGACAGGCGCCATTTTACCGCCCAAAGGGCTCCCTCCTCCTTCCTCCCCCTCCTCTTCCCCTGACACGACTTCCGGTGGTGACGTGTATTCGCTTTACCAGGGCTCCCGTTCCCCGAACTTGCTTTATGGGGGTGGGGATCAGGAGAGGTGTGTGCTTTAACAAGGCTCGGCAGCGCGCACGCGCGAGAGTTGGCTGTGGGGCGGGGCCTGGGCGAACGAGCGGGACCTCGACCGGCGTGGGCGGGGCCGAGAGACGTCACTTGCCCTCGACGTTCGGCCGGCGACCGCCTTCGTCCTTTTTTCTGAACACAGCTGTCCCAACGGTTCTCCCTGTCCTAGTCATGATAAAAATATAGAGAGAGCGCGTCGTTCGTGAGCCAGAGGAGGGAGAGGTCGACGGAACGAGGCCCTCTGCTGACATCCCTTCTCGATCCGGAACGCCAAGTCTTACTGGTGCAAAGGTGATGACTGTAAAGGGGGCGGGACGTTGTTCCGACGTCATCACAGCGCGTCGGAAGAGTCCCAGACCAGGTGAAGATGTTGGAGTCACTGTTGGCGTTTGGCGGCCTGGTGCTGCTTCGTGGTGAGGAATTCGGATATAGGAGGTTCAGAATCGGGTTGAAGGGGAGCAAGTGAAGAAAAAGGGATGTGGATCACTAGATAGAGGTAAAGATCGCGCCGGGTTCGTGAAGACCTGTTCTCACGAAGTTTATTCATCCCCAGACTCCGTGGAGTGGGAGGGGCGCAGTCTTTTGAAGGCGCTTCTCAAGAAATCTGCGCTGTGGTGGGTATTCTTTAGCATTTTTCTGTTCCTTCCGGAGGAAAACCGAAACCCCGCTCTTTGACTCCCCCCATTTCTCCTTCAGTGGGGAGCAAGTTCACATACTGGGCTGTGAGGTGAGCGAGGAAGAGTTTCGTGAAGGTTTTGACTCCAGCATCAACAGCCGGTAAGAAGAAGTTAGAATCTGAGATGTTATTAAATTCGGGAATTGTTGCTAAGGAACTTCCATTATAGCATCAAGCCTTGAGTATAGGAGCTGCTACTTACATCGATTATTTAGGGGCCGGAGCGATAGTACAGCAGGTACTTTTTTGTACACTGTATCGTCCCTTGAGCCCCGCCGGGAGTGATCCCTGAGTGCAGAGCCAGGAGTAAGCCCTGAGAGCCGCTGGGTGTGACCCTCCCCCCCAGCCCCACCCCCTCAAAAAAACCCACCCGCTTGTGTTGTCTGGTTAGAATAATTACTTCCTGATCTGGGAAACTGAGTGGAAATAATAATAATTACATTTGTCTTTTAACTCTTGATTTTCTTTTTGGGGGGGGGGGCTGGAGCGATAGCACAGCGGTAGGGCGTTTGCCTTGCACGCAGCCAACATGGCCGACCCGAGTTCGATTCCTCCACCCCTCTCGGAGAGCCCGGCAAGCTACCGAGAGTATTCGATATGCCAGACACAGTAACAACAAAGTCTCCAATGGAGACGTTACTGGGCCCGCTCGAGCAAATCGATGATCAACGGGAGGGCCTTTCCTTACTTTACTTTCTTTTTTTAATTCTTTTTGATTTGGGGGGGCTACATCTGTCTGTGCTCAGGGCTTACTCCTCTATGCTCAGGGATATTTGGTGCCAGGAATATGAACCATTGTCATTACAGCTGCATGCAAAGCAATTTCCCTACCTCCTGGACTGTGTCTCCAGCCTTGGGCCCAAATTTTCTGCAGGCGGTGTCTTGCAACAAGTTCTATCACTTGAAACTTTTCTAAGATTTCTGTTTGGTGTATTTTTGGGCCATAAATTAATGGTGCTCAGGGCTTATTCCTGTCTCTGCACTCATTCTTAGAGGAGTTCGGGGCACCACATGGGGTCCCAAGGGTTAACCAAGTGCCAGGCAAGCACCCTTCTTGATGTGCTATCTCACCATCCTGCAGTTATCCCAAGATTTCTTGCCCATGCCGGTTTGCTGTAATTGCATTACTATTTTGTCTGTAGTTTGTATCATGTGGCTTAATTCTTTTGTGGGTTTTTTGGGGGAGGTGGTTTGGAGTTTTTTGCTTGTTTTGCAAGTACTATCTTTCCTGCCTGTGGCTTAATTCTTGATTTTCTCATCTCTAACTGATCTGATTAGTGAAACCATGTCTTGAGAAACCATATCTCCACTTCTCTCCTCTCTTTCCATCCAGAGAATAAGGAACTCTTAGATGTAGTTGACAGGACTCGTAGCAGCAGTACAGGAGCCAAGATACTTGCCTTGAATCTCTATAATAATCAGCATTGCCAGGGCTGACTCCTGAGTACAGAGAGAGGAATAGCCCCTGAGCACTGCTGGGTGTGGGCCATGGGACAACACTGCCCCCTCGTCCCCAGTATAGAGTTGATGAGGGTTGGGAAATAGCCCAGTGTGCTTCACGTGCAGGAGGGATTCACCCCAGCACCATATGATTCTTCAAGCGCTGAACTGCGAGTAGGCCCCAGAGCCAGGAGGGTATGGCTCAAAAGGCACTACAGCACTGTAGCACTGCCCTCCTGTTGTTCATCGATTTGTTCAAGCAGGCACCAGTAATGTCTCCATTGTGAGACTTGTTGTTACTGGGTGTTTGGGGGGCATATCGAATACGTCACGAGTAGCTTGCCAGGCTTTCCCGTGTGGGCAGGATACTCTCGGTAGCTTGCCGGTTTCTCCGAGAGGGGCGGAGGAATCGAACCCAGGTCTGCCTCGTACAAGGCAAATGCCCTACCTGCTGTGCTATCACTCCAGCCCATGGCCAAAAATAAATAAATAAAATGAGAATAAAAGATAGAGTTGGAATGATAATAGCTGATGTTTATCAAATATTTTATGTATGTCAGACATTATCAAAAATTTCATGTACAACATGAACAGCTTTATAAGGGTCAAATAGTGACTCAATAAAAAAAAAGTTAAAGAAAAAGTTTGTGTCTAAAAAGAAAGTTAAAAATAAACAAGGAAAAAAATGGTTTTTTTTTGCTTTTTTGGGTCACACCTGGTGATGCATAGGGATTAATCCTGGCTCTGCACTCAGGAACTACCCCTGGTGGTGCTCAGAGGACCATATGGGATGCCGGGAATCAAACCTGAGTTGGCCGAGTGCAAGGCAAACACCCTACCCGCTGTGCTATTGCTCAGCCCCAAGAAAAAAAAATTTAAAGGGGGAAAAAACAAAAAAGAATGGGGCTGGAGTGATAGCACAGTGGGTAGGGCATTTGCCTCGCACGCGGCCCACCCGGGTTCGATTCCCAGCATCCCATATGGTCCCCTGAGCGCTGCCAGGGGTAATTCCTGAGTGCAGAGCCAGGAGTAACCCCTGTGCGTCGCCAGGTGTGACCCTAAAAGCAAAAAAAAAGAAAAGAACAACAACAAAAAATTTTGATGTCTTGGGCCAGAGCAATAGTTCAGCAGGTAGGGTGCTTACCTTGAATGCGACCAACCTAGATTTGTTCCCCAGCACCCCATATGATCCCGTGAGCCCTGCCAGGAGTGATCCCTGAGCACAGTACCAGGTGTCGCCCAAAAACAGAAAACACACACACACACACACACACACACACACACACACACGACATTTCTTGGTATTCTACAAATGAAGTACTGGGGATAATGGCGCAGTGGTAGAGTACATGTCTTGTTTGTGTGGTGTCCTAGGTTTGATCCTTAGCGCCACATACAAGTTGAAGAAAACCAAGTCATCAAAAAAAAAAAAAGACACTGAATCTTAGATTAGGTAGTATATCAATTAGGTGGTTTTAGGCAAGTAGCAAAGTGAGTCTATCTGGCATCAGAGTCCATACTCTGGATCACAGTATTACCTCTGTAATCTTTCTCTAGCATTTAGTATGTTCGTGAAAATTAATGAATTAACCCCCCCAAAATTTTTTTTTTCTTTCAATTTTTGGGTCACACCTGGTGATGCTCCGGAGTTACTCCTTGCTCTCTACTCAGGAATAAGCCCTGGCAGTGCTCAGGGGACCATATGGGATGTCGGGATCAATCCCGGGTTGGCTATGTGCAAGGCAAACCACCCTACCTGCTGTACTATTGTTCAGGCCTCAGAAAAAAATTCTTGGTGGAAGAATGGGACAGTGCTACATTGTCTCTTCTTTTCCTTTTGTAGGTTGATTTATCATGACCTGTTCAGAGACCCTCTCGGCTGGTCAGAGACCAGAGAAGCATTTCTGGGGGACGCTCTGGGAACCCTGAAAGCCATATGCAGGAGGACGGAGTCTGGTCCTGTCACCATTGCTCTTGATTCACTCAGCTGGCTGCTGCTTCACTTTCCCTTCACCACAGTCTGTCAGACACTGCATTCTCTCAGCCATCAGGATTCCGGCCCTGGTGAGACCCCTTTCATGGTTGATTCTCCTCGGTCTTCTCCCCTGCCAAATTCTTACTTGCTTTCTTTTGTTGTTGTTTTTTGCTTTTTGGCTCACACCCGGCAATGTTTAGGGGTTACTCCTGGCTCTGCACTCAGGAATCACTTCTGGCAGTGCTCGGGGGACCATATGGGATGCTGGGAATCGAACCCGGGTTGGCTGCGTGCAAGGCAAAAGCCCCTACCCACTTTTCTATCGCTCCAGCCCCTTTTATTGTTGTCGTTTTGTTTTGTGGCCATGCCTGGCAATGCTCAGGATTTACTCCTGGGGTGCTCAGGGCACTACATGGTATGCCAGGGATTGAATCTGGGTCAGTTACATGCAAGACAATTACCCTACCCGCTAAACGGTTGCTTCAGTCCTAGTCACATTCTTGATATCTTCCTAATTCCATCCATTAATCACTTTTTTTTCCAAGTATTTTTTCTTTTTTTTGCTTCCGCTCCGGCCCCTCCAAGTATTTTTTAATTTGTCTTTTTATTCATTCCACAGAATTTATATGTGGCATGTTAAGTACAATTATAGATAATGGGGAGCTGGAGCGATAGCACAGCAGGTAGGGCGTTTGCCTTGTAGGTGGTCAATCCGAGTTCAGTTCCCAACATCCTATATGGTCCCCCCAAGCACAGCCAGGAGTAATTCCTGAGTGCAGAGTCAGGAGTAACCCTTGTGCATCGCCGGGTATGACCCAAAAATAAAATAATTATAGATAATGGGATATGGGCTAACCAAGGTCAGGGGCTCAGTAGAAACACCTGCTTTGCAGACATGAATCTAAAGGTTTGGTCCCCAGCACTGCCTACAAGCCAAGTATGATTCTGGCAGCTCAGCAGAGTGCAGTCTCCAGTATACTGCAACCAAATGTGCTGTACCAGTGAGCACTCTAATCAGAGTGTGAGCACCATAGCTGAAAAAATAAGCATGTGGGGGCCAGAGAGATGGTAACAGGGGTTAAGGCACTTGTCTTGCATGCAGCCCACCTAATTCAGTACCTGACATTGCATAGTCTCCTAAACCTAGAGCCAGGAATAGCCCGTGAGCGCTACTGAGTGTGGCCCTAAAAATCAGTAGAGAAAAGTGGGTGTAGTCCCTAGTATGCACCACAACAAACACCAAGTGTAAAACACCATGTCATTGACAACAAAGGGAAAGTAAAGGGCCAGAAGAAAAATGAAAACTGGGGCCAGCAGATAGGGCATTTGCCTTTCATGCAGCCAGCCCGGATTTGATCCCCGGCACCCCATATAGTCCTTCAGGCCCTGCCAGAAGTGATTCCTGAATGCAGAACCAGGTGCCCTGAGCACCTAGGGTTTGTGGCTCCCAAACCTTGCCTTCCTGGAGCTCAGAGTTTCATGATGAAAGAAACAAACAGTTATAAGATAGTTTGATATGAACCATAAAGAAACACCTACAGAATACCTATAAGAAAGGAGCTGTCTTTTTTTTTTCCTGTGTGTGTAGGGCTTTTTTTTTCTGACTCACTTTTGAGGTGCCTGGAATCAGGAACAAAATGTCTTAAAGAGAGCCTGGAGAGATTTTTTTTTTATAATGTAGGAGTATTGCTATTTAATCAGCCATTGATTAGGCTGATTGAATTGGGCATGAACTCCACTTTACTTTCCTTTTTCCTTTTTATAAATTTATTGAATCACCATGAGAGCAGTTGCAAAGCTTTCGGGTTTAAGTTTTGGTCATAGAATGATGGAACACCTGTTCCTTCATCAGTGCCTATTTTCCACCACCAAAAATCCCAGTATAGGGGGCTGGAGCAATAGCACAGTGGGTAGGGTGTTTGCCTTGCAGGTGGCTGACCCGGGTTCGATTCCCAGCATCCCATATGGTCCCCTGAGCACCACCAGGAGTAATTCCTGAGTGCAAAGCCAGGAGTAACTTCTGTGCATTGCTGGGTGTGACCCAAAAAGCAAAAAAAACAAAACAGTATACCCCCATTCCACACCCTCCCCCTACCTGTGGGGCAGATGATTTCCACATTACTCTCTAGAGAGATATTCTTGAGGTAAGATGCTTGCCTGGCATTTGCCTATTCTGGGTTTGATCCCAGGTACCCATATGATCCTCCTAGCCTGCCGGGAGTGATTTTCTGAGTATAGCAGCTCTACCCAATAAAAAACAGTTTTGAAGAGCAAGGGTTCAGCCATGCCAGGGACACTAGGACTATTCCTGAAGAACACTGGCTACTAAAATGGACTTTGTTTTGGGAGAATGAGCACACCCATCAGTGCTCAGGCATTACTCCTGGCTATGTGCTCAAGGATCACTCATGGTGGACACCAAGCGGCCATATAGCGTGCTAGGGATCAAACCACAGTTGGTTGGTGGCTTGTAAGGCAAGCACCTTACTTTACTATACATTTCCCACTAGAATGGTCTGTGGAGTCAGCTTTTAATAATATTGTTTGTGTTAAAGAATCTGAAACCCACTTGACAGTGCTTCAGTTTCCTCTGTAAAAATGGGAAGAAACTCCAGGCCTAAAGGGCTCGGGGATGGGTCATTCCCACATCTCCCGCCCCTTGGGGATCCTGGCTGTCACGCCCACGAACTGCCTCCAGGTGCCATTTAAGTGCATTAATGGCCATGATTCAGACTCTCACAAAAGAATCTCGGAAATGAGCTCACAGTCCAGCTAGCTGCAGATATGCCTTCGGACCCTAATTACGGGAGTGCATTTCTGTGAAAGTGGCCACACAATATCTCATGCTATTCATCACTGTATCACTGTCATCCTGTTGTTCATCGATTCCCTTGAGCAGGCACCAGTAACATCTCCTTCGTCCTAGTCCTGAAATTTTAGAAAGTGCCACATTTGAGGCTCTTTCAGGGAGCGGGAGCGATAGCATAGCAGTAGCGCGTTTACCGTGCGCGCAGCTGACCCAGCCAAGCCAGGTTTGATTCCTCTGCCCCTCTCGGAGAGCCCGTCAAGCTACCGAGAGTATCTTGCCCCCACAGCAAAGCCTGGCATGCTATTTGTGATATATGCTATTCATAAGCAATACAAAGTAAATTATCTAGCATCTGCCTGTTGGGCAGGTTTGAGTGGTGGTAGGAAAATTCGAAATAATGGTGGTAGAATTGATGTCAAAATATTGAATGTAATCCATTATTGTGAACAACTTTATGAAAATAAAATTTAAAATGGGAAGAAGGCAAGAGTATAGTATTAGGATGAGGGACTTGTAGTTGTCATCTTGTAGGTTACATGATCAAATATTAGCAGTTTAGCTATTTAATGTGGTTTAACCTGAAAATTGTATCTAATGGTGATTCAATTAAAAAAAGTACTGTGGAGTTCGTGCCCAATTCAGTCAGCTTAATAGCTGAATAAATGGCAGTGCTCCTACATAGATAGAAAGAAAGAAAGAAAGAAAGAAAGAAAGAAAGAAAGAAAGAAAGAAAGGAAGGAAGGAAGGAAGGAAGGAGGGAGGGGAGGGAGGGGAATAAAGAGGCTTTGGCTGGAGAAATAGAAGAGGCGAGATATTTGGGTTTTGGTGATTGTGTTTTGTTTGTCTCTCTGTTTGTTTGTTTGGTGGGGGGTGAGGGTGTTGGTTTTGTTTTTTGGCCACACCTAGCTGTGCTCAGGGCTTACTCCTGGCTCTGCACTCAGGAATTACTCCTGGTGGTACCTAGAGGACTATATGGGTCAGCCGCATGCAAGTCGAACACCCTGCCTACTATACTATTGCTCTGGCCCCAAGAGGCAGCGCATTTGTTTTGCAGTTATCCAACCCTGGTTAGGAACCCTTGTACCACACAGGATCCCTCAAACCGACCAGAAGTCATTCCTCTTCAGAGAGCAAATAATAGCCCCTGAGCACCATAATGAGGTTTACAGACAACCGCTGGACTAGAGCCATTACTGATTGGATTCCACGGGACGTCAAAAGATCGCGTGGATGCCCACCTACAAGATAGTCAGACTTCTTTGTCAAGACCCTGAATTGAGACCCTGGTTTGAGGCTCTGCATGTTCCTAGAACGAACAGATGCCATTGGGCTACGCTAGCACGCAACAGGGATGAATGGAGACGCTACTGGCACCCACTCGAGTAAATCGATGAATAACGGGGGATCAAGTGATCAAGTGAGCACCATTATAATGGCACAACACGCCCACCTCCCACCTTCAACACGCTCCCCTGCCTTGAAAAGTAAGCAGACAGATGATGAAAGTCTTAATTCTATGAGGGCCATGAGGAGCTCATGGTGATTCATGTCAGTGGTATCATGATCATGTTTACATTGAAATAAAATGTATTAGGGTCAGGGAAATGGCTCAAATGCAAGGACATACATTCCAAGCAGGGGACCTTGTTCCCTGAGCAACACTGGAACTGACTCTGAACGGTAAACCAGTAGTAGCTGCTGGGAAAAAAACATACTAAAGGGGCCGGAGCGATAGTACAGAGGATAGGGCATTTGCCTTGCACGCGGCCGACCCAGATTCAATCTCGGCAATCTATATGGTTTCCCAAGCACCGCCAGGAGTAATTCCTAGTGCAGAGCCAGGAGTAACCTCTTGAGCATAGCTTGGTGTGACCCCAAAAGGGGGGGGAGGAAGTATACTAAAGGTGATGAATTAAAGAGACTTCGAGCAGGGCAGTGAAACTGGCTCTGGTAGGTCAAATCTGGATGGCATAATGGTGATAGGAATATGGACCTCTCTTTTCCTTTTCCCTCTTCATCGCATCACAGAATATTTCTACCCATCATGCTCCCTACACACTTTTTTCCTTATATGTCTTATCCCTCTTCAGGTGACAGCTCCCCACTCAAGCAGGTACGAATTTTGGGCCTACTACATGAAGAACTTCATGGCCCAGGCCTTGTGGGAGCGTTGAGTAGCCTTTCACAGTCTGAGGTGACTCTGAGTGGTAAAACAGGCCAGACCCTGGCAGCCCACATCCTATGTCGGAGAGCTGGACATCGCCCAACCCATCAGGTCAGAAAAGGGGGGATATGGTTTGGATCAGATGGGAAAAGCAATAACAGTGCTGATATGACTGAGAACTTACCCAGGCTTTCCCCATTTTGTTTCACTCATTTAATCCCCCCAGGGCTGGAGCAATAGCACAGCGGGTAGGGCGTTCGCCTTACAAGCGGCCAACATGGCCGACCCGAGATCGATTCCTCCGCCCCTCTCGGAGAGCCCGGCAAGCTACCGAGAGTATTCGATATGCCAGACACAGTAACAACAAAGTCTCCAATGGAGACATTACTGGGCCCGCTCGAGCAAATTGACGATCAACGGGAGGGCCTTTACCTTACCTTTACCATTTAATCCCCACAATTAACCTATGAGGGTTGATTATTATCCGCCAGTTTTGTAGCTGGGGCAGAAATATCTGAATGATTTCAGTTAAGCTCCTTTACCCAAATTACAGAGACTCAGTGGCAGAGGGGCTGGGCTCTGGCTCAGAGGAAGAACTCAGGTCTCCCATGTATAAGACGCTGGGTTCCCTCTCCATCAAAAAACAAAAGATTCCGTGTTAGAGACAGGATTGCCTAGCTCATCCTAGGAGTTTAACCAATGAAGGATACTTCCTTCTAACCCTTCAAAGAAATGAGGAAGGACTGAGTGCTGAGTGTTGTTTTTTTTTTTTTACTGAGAGGGCTTTTTTTTTTTAAATTTTTTTATTTTGAATTTTTATTAGTGAAACACCATGAGGTACAGTTGTAGGCTTACAAATTTTTGTGCTTGGATTTCAATTATACAATGATCAAATCTGAGTGGGGTTTGTGTTTTTGTTTGTTTTAGTAGGAGGGGGGGAAATTCCATCTGGAGAGGTTTTGTTTTGCTTTATTGGTTGCACTGCCAGGGACTGAACCCAGGGCATTATATATGCAAGACAAGTGCTTCTCCATTGATTTATATCCCAGGCAAAATGGAGAGGATTCAAAGGGCTTTAAAGTGGAGAGCTAGGGCTGGAGAAATAGCACAGCAGGTAGGGCGTTTGCCTTGCACGCGGCCGACCCGAGTTGATTCCCAGCATCCCATATGGTCCCCCGAGCACCGCCAGGAGTAACTCCTGAGTACAGAGCCAGGAGTAACCCCTGTGCATCGTTGGATGTGACCCAAAAAGCAAAAAAAATAAAATAAAATAAAAATGAAGAGCTAAAGTTAAGTCAGTTACATAGGTGACTGGGGTTGGAGTGGTTAGGTCCCGAGTTCTAGAAGACGGAACAGATCTATTCTGTTTCATTGTGGGCTGGGGACTGGCATGGTTTGGACCACACACCTGGAGGTACTCTGACTCTAGGCTCAGGAGTAACCCCTGGTTATACTCAGAGACCATATGCGGTACCAGAAACTGAACTAGTTTTGGCTGCATGCAAGTTAAGTAGGCAGCCTTAACTTGTACTATCTCTCAAGCCCTGACAAATCTTATCCCAGGGATGCTCAGGGCTTACTCCTAACTCTGTCTGGCAGGGCTTGGGGGACAATATGGGTTGCCAGGGATTGAACCTGGGTCAGTTACCTGCAGGGCAGTTCTGAACAAGTGGTTTTTTTGTTTGTTTGTTTGTTTTGTTTTGTTTTGTTTTTCTTTTATCCTTTTCTGTTTTCTTTTTATTATTTTTTATTACTGAAACACCATGAGGTACAGTTGTAGGCTTACAAACTTTCATGCTTGGGTTTCATTTATACAATAATCGAGTACCCATCCCTCCACCAGTGCCCATTCTCTACCACTAATGATCCTAGTAGCCCTCCCACCCCCACCCCCATCCCCCCCATCCTCCTCCGCCTCTGTGGCAAGGCATTCCCTTTTGCTCTTTCCTTTAGGGTCCTGTAGTTTGCAACAGAGGTCATCATGTTCAGTCTATAGTCTACTTTCAGCACGCATCTCGCATCCCAAGCAAGTCCTCCGAACATCCTTTACTTGGTGTTCCCTTCTCTATCTGAGCTGCCTTTTCCCCAGCACGTGCTGCAAGCTTCCAAGCCCTGGAGCAGACCTCCTGGTACTTTTCTCAGCTATTCCTGGGTCATGAACAAGTTTTTAATGCCCTTTTTTCTTCTCCCCAGACTCAGTGGTTTTCCATCCTGCCCGACTTCAATGTGGATCTCCAAAGGGGACCATCCCCAGAGTCCCAGGCCCACCTAGATCCTCACAGACCCCAGGTATCCAAGAATGCCAGAGCCAGTACAAGGGGATGGAGGTTAGGGGCTGGAGGAAATTGCAGAAGTCAAGGATTCTTATGATGCGGCAAATTGGCAGCATCCATTTATGGGGATGCTCAGGGGTTACTCCTTTCGGGCTCTATGGGGTGCCGGGGATTGAACCGGAGTCAGCCACCTACAAGGCAAGCGCCCCACCTGCTGTACTATCGCTCCGGCCCCAGCAGCATCCTTTTTATCTCCAGGTGGATCCCATGACTCATTTAACCTTTAACCTTCACCTGTCCAAGAAAGAGAAAGAAGCCAAAGATAGCCTGATCCTGCCCTTCCATTTCAGCTCTGAAAAGTAAGGTTGGGGCATGGGTACTCGGGTCTCTAAGAGTACAGCACCTGGGTCTGAGGTAGGGCACTAGCAGGTTATTGATTAACTTCTCAAACTTTATAGGGGCTGAAGTCCACCTCCAGTGACTAGTTTGGGGAGTGGTTCTCTACCCGCCCATACACTAACAATGACAAGGGCCCTTTATATATCCCTTGTCTCCATAGTCATCCCCAGAGCACTGAGGCCTAAGCTGAACCATCCCATACCCTGAGAAGGTCATAGTGATAGAAACTAGATGAGTATGATGAAAAGCAAGTTATTAAATACCTATTCTGTGGGTATGTGGATAGGTAAAGCAAGACTACTATAGCAGAATACTTGCCCTTAAAGCTTCTAGAATTTAGGGCACTAGAACAGCATATTAGGTGAGCAGTATAAAAGTATCTTCTATTATCAGCTTAATACGTAGCTTCAGTACTAAGTAAATGAGCTCAAAGAGACATGTACCATGGACATATGAAGGCAAAAGAGGTAGTCAGTCACTAGGGTGGGGGTATCCAGAGGTGACCTTTAATACTCACCCTTACTAACACCAATTCTCTTATCTCTCAGACAACAGGCTTTACTGCACCCTGGACCAGGCCAGGCTACCAGCCACATCTTTTATGAGCCAGATGCTTATGATGATCTGGACCAAGAAGATCCAGATGATGACCTGGATGTTTGACTGGCCTCTAGACTAATTCGAGGCGGGGGGGGGGGGGGGGGGGGGGGGACCTTGGACTCATTACCTCCTCCCAGCGCTGGCCTTTCCTCCCTATCCCCGCCCCCACCTTCTTCCCTATGTCTGTGGAGGCCCTGCCCTCTGATCCTGGAGCAGCATCCACACAGTGAAGAATGTGTGTTTTTACACACACACACACACACACACCACCAGCCTAATAAACTTTTTTATTGAAGAAGGTACTCTTTGGCAGCTGTTAAGCAAGAGCTGGTAGTGGAAAAGTGAAGGCGAGTGCGCAAGTGCCGGTAGAAATACAGCAGAGGCTACGCCTCTTCGAACCTGGCACTAGCTAGTTTCCATCCCCAGCACCACAGTTGTTCCCCCAAGCGCGGGTGATGAACCCTGAGCACAGCTGGGTGTGGCCCGAAAACAGATCAGAGGGGAATGCAAAAGGGAAGTCAAGTACCTGAAACTTTTCATCTTAAGTGCCCAGTTCTGTTTGTTTTTTTCCTTTTGGGGTCACACCTGGCGATGCTCAGGGGTTACCCCCGACTATGCACTCAGGAATTATTCCTGGTGGTGCTGGGGAACTTACCTGGATTGACCATGTGCAAGGCAAATGCCCTACCCGCTATACAATTGTTCCAGCCCCCAAGCGTCCAGTTCTGAATAGCAGTGAATGAAAGGCTGGCCTTGTACACTATAGGAACTCAGTAAATGTGTGTTTAGCTGAATAGGTGAACTTTAGGTTCTAGGCCTCCTGCTCGGATCTAGATCGGAAGGAAAAACACATCCTAAAGAGGGAAAAAAATTTCCAAAACATACTTTTATTACTGTACAAAAGCACACCCTACCCTCTTCCATATCTCCCACCCAACTGACTCCCCCAGGAAACTGTACATGGCATTCCTTTGGGACTGGAGTGATTGGGAGGTTCCACGCCCTGCCCACAGGCTGAACTCTGCTCCATGTCCTTTCAGGTAACTGCTTACCCTCAGGCTGCCAGGCTGGGATCAGGGTATCCCCCAGTTCACACATACTCCTTAGCAGAGTTGGGTTTAGGGTAGGAGCGGGGTGCATGGTATGCTGGTTTGCTCTCACTCCTGGGACAGGAGCAAGAGAGCAGGCCACCTCCCAGAAGGACCAGTGCAGACCCTGCCCAGCCAATAAAGATGGCAGGGCCAAACTCAAACCTGTGGAAAGAAGGAATTGATGTCAGAAATACTGGCCGGTCTCTTCCCACTTCGGGACCAATTTCTTTAGGGGGCTCCCAGACTTACTTAACATTCATAGGGACCAATGGGTTATAAAAGTCTCTGACAATCTGGTTACCAGACCAGGAGCAAGCTATTAGGGCAGCAAGACCTGGGAAGAGAATAAAGATTGTGAGACCCCAAACCAAGCACCCGACCACCTGGCCGCCTCCAGGAGGAAGTTTCATGGGCCCCTCTGGAATTTATGACTCACCTGCCACGATAAAAATGATACCTCCGGTCATGGCTATTCGGGCCTTCTTTACTTTGTCATCTCCCCCACAGTTGGTACACTTCATGCCCATCGTGGCCACGATCATGGCCATGAAGCCCAGCACCAGGGACACGACCATGAGGGCTCGAGTAGCCTGCAAAGACGCTGCAGGGAAGGGGAAAGGCCATCATCAGGGCTGTAGAGATGGGTGGCCCTTGGGGGGGTTCCAGGCCTGGATCCCCAACCGCGCCCACTAACTAGGCGGGCGCTGGATCTGGCGCGGCCCAGGGGACCCCAAGGCTCCGCGACAATTCGGTGCCGCCCTGGGCTGGGTCCCGCCCCTGGGCTCCAGAGACCTTCCCGCTCCGCCCCGCCCCTGGGCGCCAGGACCCGCCCGAGGCGCCGGGGCTGGTTTCGAAGAAACTGGCCGGGCCGGGGGCCCCGGGCAGGGGTAGGGAATGGACGCGCGGCGGCCCGGAGGAGACCCGTGAGGGCGCCGATCCGGGCGGCCGGCCGCCTCTGACCCCACTATCGCGGCCGCGGGGTTTGTGGCTTGGGCTAATCGGCCGATAAGATTAGAGGCCGCAGGCGCCGGCCCACGGGGACAGCGCCCGGCGGCTAGACCCACGGGGACCCGCGGCCTCCGCCTTTTGCTGGAGGGAAAGAGCGGGAGAGCGCGGGGCCCCGGCCGGCCTGGCAGGGGGTGGGGGCGGCCCCAACGTCGTGAAGCCGCGGTCTCCCCTTCACGGGTTCGGCCGCGGGAAGCCAGTCGGGGAAGAGACCCGGCCAGCGGCGGAGCAGGGGGCTCCCGGCCCGGGTGGGGACCCACGTGCCGCCAGAACCCGGCCCGCTCCCGCCTCGCCGTCCGCTTCCGCTTCCTCCTCTCGGCCCGGCGCCCGGCAACCCCAGGCGTCCAGCCGGGCGCCCTCGGGCCCCACCCGCACCCCAGCCCGCCGCCCGCACGCCAGGCTCGCCCGTCCCGTCGGTGCCCTGCCCCGACGCGGCGACCCCGTCCCAGAACGCGTCGTCCCGTGGGTCCCGGGACCTTACCCGGCAGGGCGAGCACCGAGTCGTAGATCTTGCAGTTCATCACGCCCGTGCTCTGTATGGCGCACTCCATCCACAGGCCCTTGTACATGGCCTGGGACGTGATGATGTTGTCGCCCGCGAACGAGCTCATCTGCCACTGCGGAATGGCGGTGCAGGCCAGCAGGGCCACCCAGCCTAGCAGGGCCATGGCGAAGCCCAGGAGCTGCAGGCCCGAGTTGGCCATTTCCCTCCTCAGAAACAACAAAGTGGGAGGTGAAAAAAAATGATGGTAATAGGGAGGCCGGGCAGGCGACCCTGCAGTAGAACAAATCAACCTGGGGGGTCAACCCCAAAAAGACAAGTCGGGGTGTAGCTCTGAGTCACCCAACACGGCAAGAAAGGTTGAGGCGAGTGGCCGCAAACCTTCTTGGTCACCGAAGTAAATCTAAATGTCCCCTCCGGCGGGGCAAGGCGCGCGGCCCCAGGACCAACAGGCTCCCTGGAGGTCGGGTGGCAGACGAAAACGATCCTCGAACGCCAAGACGGTCCCTCCGACGCTCTCGGTGACTCTACTCGGACAAAAGTCGGTCGGACGAGCCGTCTGGGCGCGGTCCTGAGCCTCCTGAGTCCCCGGAGAGCTCTGGGCTCGGGGCCCCCGGCGAGGAAGGGCAGGCTCGGCGGAGAGCGGGCAGGTGCGGGCGAACAGGTGCGGCGCACCTGAGTATATGTAGGGTGTCGGGGGCGCGCCCCCGCGGGCTCCGGGAGCGCGGGGGGGGGCGGGACCGGAGGGGTGATCGAGGGTGACCTGACGTCACCGAAGGGACACTCACCTGAACCGGAAGTTCTGGCCCCCACCCCTTCTTGCCCAGGTGAAGAGGAAGAAACCTGAGCGCCAGGGTCACGCCCCTCCACTGGCCCGGCTTTGACCGCAGGTGGTTGGAAACCCGCACCTTGGGAGTCCCCAGCTCAGATTCACCTCTGGGCAGGACTTTTCACGGTCACCGGGACGCACCTTCCCTTCTCTTGGGATGCTGCAGAATGGAGGGAGGGGAGAGGTGGGAGTAGGGGACCGTCTCGGGCCATCCGCGGTTCCGCCCTCCCCTCCCCCTCCCGTAGGAACTCCTGGTTTCTGCTCTCGGTGTTCTTTGTCCGGCTCCACTTTCGCCCCCACCCTCTGCTCGTCTAGTCCTTCCTTCTAGCCGAGCCGGTCGCGTCAGCTCCCAGCCCGCACAATTCCGCGCTTCAGCGGACCTCTAGAAGCCTCCACTCCGCTAGCCACCACTCCTGGGTCCTTGGTCCGCCTACTCTGCCCTCCAGGGCACCCGGCTTCCAGGCACCCGCCCCATCTCTCATCTTCCTGAGCTCTCCCATTCCATCTCCAGTGCACACGTTAACTGTGTCCTCTGACATCGAAGTGGGGTTGGGGAGAGGCTGGGAACCTTGCCCTCCTGCCTCTCCCTGGGGGACTGCAAACCAATCTTCCGTTCCTCCCCTCACCCCAGCCAGCCCTGCACACCTTTCTCCTGTCCGGGTTCCCAGCCTGGATCTGCCTGTTGGCAACACTCTTCGGTGCTCTCACCGTCCTGTGCCGTCCTGCTGAGCATCTGGCTCTGCCGTGGACTTTGATTTGGTGCCCAGACTCCCACCACACTCCCCCCGCCTCATCTTCCTTGGCCATTGCCCCCTTCTTCCTCTGGACATTCATTGAGTCCAAGCATCCTTCTCTGTACCCACACTTGCCTATTTTTTTTTAGGGGTTTGGATGACATAGGGACCATTTCTGGCTCTGTGCTCAAGAGTGACCCCAGATGGTCCTGAGTAGGGGTGACCATATGTGGTGTCAGGGACAAAACCTGTGACCATATGTGGTGTCAGGGACAAAACCTGGGGTGACATATGCAAAGAAAGGATCTTACCGTTCTTATCATCATTCTGGCCCCAAAGTATATAGCATTTAAATTTTTGTATGTTTTTGGGACACACTAGCAGTGCTCAGGGAACTATATGGGAAATCAGGGTCCAACTAGGGTTAGCCACAAACAAGGCAAGTGCCTTAACCTCTGTGCCAGCTCTTGGATCCTTCATCTCATCTCATCTCATCCGTTTTTGTTTGGGGGGACATACCTAGCAGTGCTTAGGGCTTACTCCTAGCTCTGTGCTCAGTTATCACTTCTGGCTGGGCTCCGAGGACCGTAGTGGTGCCTGGAATCAAACCTGGGTCAGCTGCATGTAAAGTCTTGCCCTCTGTATTATCTCTCCAACCCCTCATCTCTTTTTTTATCGCCTCCCCTGCTTGCTTTTTCTGCTTCCTACTACACTCCTTCTCTTTGAGTCTCCCTTTGTACTTTATCTCCCCCTTCAGCACCAATTAGTATTTTCCCTGCACTTTTCTTCTCTGGTAAACACTGCTGCCCCACCCCTCAAATTCAAACACCTTCTATTTTGATTTGCTTAGGGAACTCACCTGATGGTGCCTGGGGGTAGGGGACAGCTACTCCCTGGCCCCCTAAGTTGGCTTTCTTTTCAGTTTTGGGCCACCCAATGCTTGAGGTTCCTCCCATCTCTGTCCCATCTCTGTCCTGAGGATCGCTCCTTGTTGGGCAGTGTTCTGGGGCCATATGTGGTGCAAAGCAGTCTTTTTTATTGATTTATTTATTGCTTTTTGGGTCACACCCGGTGATGCACAATAGTTACTTCTGGTCTGCACTCAGGAATTACTCCTGGCGGTGCTCAGGGGACCATATGGGAGGGAACTGAACCCAGATCGGCCGCATGCAAGGCAAATGCCCTACCTGCTGTGCTATTACTCCAGCCCCAGCAATTATCTTAATGCACTCCCTAAGCCGGATTTTTTCCTGGCTCTAAAGGTCCATGATTCTCACTGCTTTAGTGAGCTGGCTCTTGAACATCAGTTTGAACTATGTAGATCCACCTATATAGAAAAGGTTTGCAGGAGCGATAGTGCAGCGGGTAGGGTGCTTGCCTTGCATGCATTCTACCTGGATTTGGTCCCCAGCATCCCATGGATACCATCAGGAGTAATTTCTGCATGCAGAGCCAGGAGTAATCCCTGAGCATTGCTGGATGTGGCCCAGAAACCCAAAAGGAAGAAAAATGATAGAAATCAATAGTAAGTACAATACTGTACATCTATTTTCTCTTCCTTGTTTTTAGTTTTTGTACCACATCTGATGTTCCTCAAGGCTACTCCTAGCTCTGTGCTCAAAGGTTCCTGGTGGTGCTAGGGGGGATCATGCAATGCCAAGGATTTAGCCTGGGGCTCCTGCCCACCAAATTGCACTGTGAGCCATCTCCCTGACCCTCTTTCTAATATTTTTAGGAGTGCTGAGAATCATACCCTGACCCTCACTCACAAGAAACATGGACTCTACAACTAACTAGAGCCCTAACCCACCCCCCATGACTTTCTTAATTTTTTCTGTAGCTAACTATATTGTAAAACTACAATATATTATATATACATATATATTTATATCTGTAAAATATGGGGCTGGAGCGATAACACAGCGGGTAGGGCGTTTGTCTTGCATGCAGCCAACATGGCCGACCCGAGTTCGATTCTTCCACCCCTCTCTGAGAGCCCGGCTAGCTACCGAGAGTATCTCGCCCGCACAGCAAAGCCTGCACGGGAAAGCCTGGTAAGCTCCCCGTGACATATTCTATGTGCCAAATACAATAACAAGGGGCTGGAGCAATAGCACAGTGAGTAGGGCATTTGCCTTGCACATGGCTGACCCAAGTTCGATTCCCAGCATCCCATATGGTCCCCCGAGCACCGCCAGGAATAATTCCTGAGTGCAGAGCCAGGAGGAACCCCTGAGCATAGTCGGGTGTGACCCAAAAAGCCAAAAAAAAAAAACCAAAAAACAAAAACAAAACACAGTAACAAGTTTCACAATGTTACTGGGGCCGCTAAAGCAAATCGATGAACAACAGGAGGACAGTGATAAAATATGCATTAATTGGGGTTTGGAGAGATAGTACAGCAGATAGGGTGCTAGCCTTGCACATGGCTGACCTAGGTTCAATCCCCAGGACCCCATATGGTCCCCTGAGCCTGCCAGGAATGATCTCTGAGCATAGAGCCAAGAGTAAGACCTAAGCACTGCCAAGTGTGATCCCAAAGCACCACCACCATCACCACCAGAAAGTGTTAATTGGCTATATTATCATAAGGCTTCTACCTAACAGGAGGATCTTAGTAGTTTGGGGAAACTATGCATGGCAAGAACCAGGAATATGACTCGGTGGTAGAGAACTTACTTTCCAAGTGTGATACATTGGGTTTGATTCTTGATATGACATGATCCCTCAAGCTCCTGCAGAAGTGACCCCAAACCCTGTGCTGGGAATAACTCTGAGTAGTGACAGGTGTGGCTGGAAAAAAATTTCAACATTGTTTTTTTTACCCCCTCTGGAGGGCTGGAGCGATAGCACAGCGGTAGGGCGTTTGCCTTGCACGCAGCCAACATGGCCGACCCGAGTTCGATTCCTCCGCCCCTCTCGGAGAGCCCAGCAAGCTACCGAGAGTGTTCGATATGCCAGACACAGTAACAACAAAGTCTCCAGTGGAGACGTTACTGGGCCCGCTCGAGCAAATCGATGACCGTGTGACCCCCTCTGGAGAAGCCATGTTCTCTCTTGAAAACTAATGCCTCTTATAGAAATCTAATTTCTCTTCCCTCACATTTCTCAAAATTTCTTTATATGAAACTAGTTTGCCTCACTAAAAAAATAATAATATAGGACTGGAGAGACAGCTTGCCTTGCATGCATTCTACCTGGATTTGATCCCCAGGATCCCATGGATACCACCAGGAATAATTTCTGTGTGCAGAGCCAGGAGTAACTCCTGAGCACTGCCAGGTGTGGCCCTAAATACAATAACAATAATAATTTAAAAACGTTGTATGTAGGCACTATGGAGGCCATTCAAGTGATAGAGCATATGCCTAGCAGTTTTGTCCCTGAAACCTCATGGTTTTGTAGCTGGCTCGACCTGGAATCTGAACATCAGGCTGGCCCCACTAGGAGAAACCTGCTTAAGCACAAGCCCCACAACACCAAAGGGGATAGCCCATCTGAAAGAAACTATATGCAATTTTTGTTTATTTGGTTGTCTGGGTGACACCCAGCAGTGCTCAGGGCTTAATCCTGCCTCTGCACTTATGAAGCAGTCCTGGTGAGCGTGAAGGGCCATATGAAATATCAGGGACTGAAACC